CAGCATGCCCATCAGCAAGACCAGCATGCCCATCAGCAAGACCAGCATGCCCATCAGCAAGACCAGCATGCCCATCAGCAAGACCAGCATGCCCACTCTGAAGGAGACTGGGAACTGATTGATTGATTGATCGATTGACTGAATCTCTCTACGCCTAGCTTGCGTGCAGCCTGCATCTATCGGACTCTCTGACCGCTGCGAGTTGGTATCGGCTTGATGCGATAGGTATAGACGGCTGCGATAGGTGTAGACGGTGTCGCTGACGGAGACGAAGAAGGGGTGGGCCAGGCTAGGTTAGGTCAATCAGATTGGTCATGAAAAGAAGGGGAACGGTCGTCGCGTGTGTGATACTAGTACGTACCTAGTGACTAAGCGATCGGCGAGACGCAACGTCATTGCAACAAATTACCAGGTAATTAGGTACCTAAGGCACGGAGACATTACCAGGAACATCCACGTAGGTAGTCCGTACAGAATACAACAGGTATTCTACTAATAGGTACCTCCCTATTGTCATAGACTCTGTAAATGATTCTTTAATCATATGGCCCACTGCAAATGTTCACAGCAGATAGCATACCTAGGGTAGGTACCTAAGGTAGGTAGGTAGGTACCTTCGCGAGGCTTATTCATACCCCAACCACGCCATGTTAACTTCATTTACCAGGAAATCTCGTGCTAGAAAACGTATCCATCTTGTTCCCGCTGTCCCTACCTAAGGTAACCTGGCCGTATTCATCAAGCCAATGAAAGCCCAAACTCGTCAAGTTCCAATCGTGTAATCGTCCCACGGCGTTGCCCTTTCATGTCATCTCGAATATACCCCGAAGACAGTTTGCCATTGCACCAACTCCTTTGTCAGTGTTTCCATCATTTCCACACTGCCCATGTTTCCAAAGTCCTTGTCATCCGTGACGCTGAGCGCAACGTCTTCCTCCTTCGAGTGGGCTTCCTTAAGCCCCGCTTCAACCGCTCGAACCAAGCTTGAGACGGGTAATTGAGTCGACCCTTTAGCCCCAGTGGGTGTACTGGTCCCCTTGGAACTTGTACTCCCGCTGGAATGGTGTGACTGTGCTGCGCTCTCGGTCTGCATGTGTCCGACGAATTCTAGAATCGCCGCAACACGTCTCTTCATTTCATTCAAGCTTGTTCGGGCAGGATGTGTCTTGGCCTTGGAGCTGCGCCCACTCTCGCCATGAATTCCATTAATACCATTGGGTGATCCTCCAGTACCATTGATGTCGTGCGAACCGTCTCTCCCAGGTGTTTGTCCGTCCTCGCCATTGCCGTGGTCGCGAGTGTATTGGTTTCTTCCAAGTCTCCCTCGCCTCGCGGCCGGCCTTCCGGTCCTCCGATTATGATTGGATCTGCCCGAAGGAGGAGTGTCGGCGTTCGCTTTACCATTGACCTGAGCCATCTTAGACGGTGAAAGGCTTGGAGTAGGAGGCGGGGAATCTGTGCCGTCAGTTGTATATCTCGTATTTCAGTCAAGGGTCACACACCTTCTCCTCGTCGTCGCTCTGAGCGAGCATTCCGTTTGTTGGCAGCCTCCGCACGTTGCACTGCCTGTTGTTCTTTTTGTTTGTCTCGCAATTCTTTTTCTCGGTTGGTTCGTGCCGCTGCCCCTCTAAGTTTCAGTGAAGCAATCCTGCCAGCCACGTTCCCTCTACCATGCGCATCGTCTCCTGGTAAATCGGGTGATTCACTGTGCTTGGACATGGTAGAAGACGAGTTCGACCCCGTGCGTTGACGTTTGTTGTTGCCTTTTTGACTGTGCCATAACTGTTAGATTCTGCCAGTCCGAGTGCAAAAGGGAGAGCTCACTCTTCTGACCCAGCTCGTGCACGCTTCCCGAGAGTGCCCATTTCTCTGCTCTCTTCGATGGCTCGTCGGAGCATCTCATCTTCGTCATATGCTCCCCGACTGTTCATTGTGGCCCTTTTCTTTGTGCTCTCGCTTTGCTTGTTCTTACTGTCCTTCTTGCGAAGGGGCTCGACGGTCGAAGATTGCGGGGAGGATCTTGTAGAGAAGTTCTCAAGAACTGGTAGGTACCGAGAGGATTTCGGTCTGATGTTGGGTGGTTAGCATGCCTTGTCCCATGGCACAGCCCGCTTTGCAACCAACAGAAATAGGCGTGGCTTGTGGAAGGAAGCACAATACGAAGCCAAAAAGGGGACGTAGGTCGGGCCATGGTTGTAGCAGATAAAGATGCTAGCACAGTGAAACAGGAATCAAACTCACCCATTTAGGACCTTGGTAACCTTGTGGTATTCTGGCTTGCATAGTTCGCAGTAATACTCATCTGGCAACATGGACTCATCTAGCAAGCCCATACAGCCACCATGCTGCCAGACTCCGCATTTGTCGCACTGAACAAAGAAATTGCCGGTATCGTCGGTCAGAGTATCTCCACTGGGCTGCTGTTGTCGTATGCTGACGGAGGGGCCAGGATACTCAGCCTGCCCGCAGATACAACGAGTTACCTCCTCTTCGGTGGGATCAAGGTCAAGTCCTCCTTCTTCTTCATCCCGTTGTTGCTTGATAGCAGGTTCTTTGTTTTCTCCATTGCGTCGACTCCGACGCGGCGCCAGTTGCTCCGCACGAGAGGAAGAGTCGACGCCATCGACGGAGTCAGATCGCTGTGTGGAAGCTCTCCTCGGAGAGTTAGCGCGGACACTTGTCCGAGTGTCTCGGTCAGGTTTTGAGGGGTTGGACATGGTAGAGTTTGTGTGGTTGAGGCTAGCAGGAGGTTGTTGGGCGGAGCGGGCACGAGAAGAGCGCCGAGGGCTCATCTTGAGTTTTCAAGGAAAAAGGAGGGGTTCGTTCGAGCTCGAGCAGTGTCGAAAGTCGTAAGAGAAGCAGCGGGCAGCATGTGGTTGCCGGGAAAGCAGTCGAGGTGTAGGCTGAGAGGCTGCGTCGTCTGGAAGTGACGGAAATTCGCAGTTGCGAAGAGGCGGGAAAACAAAGCGTGGAATACAGATCGACCTGGGTAGAAAGAGCCAGAAGCAGATTGCCAGCAGTGAAAAGGGCAGAGTTACATTGCAGATGATATGGGATTGAGGAAACCGTAAGAGACGGCGAGAACAGGCAAAGGAAGAGGAGAGGATGTGTGTGCTTTCTCCCTCTCTTAGCAGCTGGCGAGACTGCGGTGACTGACTGCACTGTGACTTGACTGCGCTGCTCTCTGCAGCGTGCTGCACCGAAGGGCCGACGGCTGGGCCCAGCAGCGAGAGTTGTTACTGGCCATCAGAGAGAAAAGCGGGTCAGGGCCAGCGAAAGAAGCGCGAGTGGCGCTCCGTCCAACTGCAGTCTGTGTGTTGGTGGTCTGGTTGTTCCCCTCCGGAGTCTCCAATTCCAATTTGACCAGACCGACAGCGGCTTGCCTCACACATTCGAACAGAGGTAGACGGCAGACACATCGGAGGAGCCATTCAAGACTCCTCACAGAGACGGCGAACGTTCATTCCGCCAGAGTCCGGTCGACGTAGTAATACTGCGAGGAGCACGGAGTACGGAGTACGGATACTGGAAAAGTACTCCGTACCGCAGGGCCCAGTGTGACAATCCCAACCTCCAGCACCTCTTCCCCACACTGGGCACCTCTAACGGAATCACGTGCATCTTTGCCCTGCCAAGCCCATTTGCCCACTCGACGCGTCTAGTGCCAACACTACCCGCCACGCCCACTTTACGCGTCTCATCGCGCCGTGCTTGACCAAGGTACTCCGTACAACATGTAGGTACGCCGTATGGATATGCAGCATCACCTCTCACCTCACGACGCAATGCAACGGGAAGGTGACCTTACAGCACATTGAAACGGACACTACGATAGAATCTACAACTAGCGGAAAGCAAACTTGGGAGAGCGGGTCAGAAAACATGCACAAATCAAGGGTCTGCCTGTTTAATGTGTCATCTATGAGCTGGATGCTTTCGCCCCTTCTGTAGAATAGAAGTCCTACCGAGTACAAAACAACTCCCTTTCGGCCCTCGATGCAAACCAAAGCCGGGAAAAGCTTGCTAGAACGCAAAGTGTCTTGATGATGCCAGTGCTTGGGACCGTCTCGTCATATCTTCATATCATAATACAGGTGAAATCTCGAGCCTCGACGGCTCGAGGTGGTGGCACTGGTATGGTCGGCCTTTCAGAACAGTGGTTCGGGACTGGAGGATGAGATATGTCCAGGATCATCATGCTCGCTTAATCTCTGCGGTTTCGGCACTTGAACTCCGCCAGCCTTTGTCACTCCACCTCTTCGCCCCATCGACAAGAGTTCTTCCTCCTTGGACTTGGTGTTTTCCTTGCCCTTACCCTTGCCCTTGCCCTTGCCCTCGTCATTGTTCTTGCCCTCATCTTGGCCGCCTCTTCCCTGAGCCTTCGCTTCAGGCCCGAGGTCCTGACTTCCTGTCTCGTCTCGTTTCTGCTTGATCAACAAGCTGAGTTGGCTCTTTGTGCGGGGCAGTCGCACGTTATCATCGTCAGAAGAGTTCTCTTCATCGGTGAGCGCGCTACTCGCAAAGCTGGATCTTAATCGTGAAGGACCCATGCTGTCGTCAGCCAGAGTTGCTTTTTCTTTCCCTTTGCGCCAATCCTGAGGAATCTCGTCAGCAAACCGAACAACACTGCCTGTCTTTTTCATACGACCCAACGCCGCTAGGTTCGTCGAACTAGTTAGCTTCTTTTGCGTCTCCACGAATTTTCCTCGGAAGTCCCGCTCGACCAAGTCTGACGAAGTCAAGGGAGCAGCACCCGTGGCCATTGTCATGAGATTTTCAGCCGTCGAATCATCGCTCTGCCACGAGGAAGCAGAAGGAAGGGCTAATACCGGTCCACTCGTGGTTGCTATTACCACCATGATCAGAAAGACATACGCAAGAAGACAGAGTAACTCACCAGGAACATTCGGCAACCCGGGCGGTGGACCTCTGCCACTGAGACGACGTCGCACGCCAACATCGACATTTTCCGACCCGCCTCCTGCTGCCTCTGAGATCCCCCGTGGCGATCTCTCTGAGATTGGACCTGCTGATGGTTTTGTCGAGCTAGATTTTCGCCGAGCCATGTGTGGCCTGGTCCGCAACTTCCCAGCGGTGGCCTGAACCGGCTGTCTTATCCGACCAGCACTAGTGGTTCTGCTCAAAGAAGGTCGAGAAGACGAGCCCGGAGTGGTCGGAGAGGGAGGGCTGCGAGCTTGGTCATGTTGCTGCCGACTAGAATTCTCCCTCCGTTCGCCGGAGACGTTGAGTTGCGCACCCTGTGTCCCAGAGCTCGTGGTGGGAAGACTGTAGTCTCGCAACGCAGGTCCAACATTTTGGGCGGGTCCATGGTTCGAATCCAAGGTTCGGTGAACATCAGAGGTGGGAGACAGTGAAGAGGATCTCGTTCGACCTTGCCTGGGAGGGGTGTCCTTTTGTGTGTAGTCAGTAGATACTCAATGGGGAGTTGGCGGAAGCAAACCCACATGTGGTAAAGATCCTCGAGGCAGGGTTCGACGGGTGCCAATTGGAGTCAGATCAAAATCTTGACTGCACTGGCTCCATAAACTTGTCAAGTGGTCACTTGTTATCGACTGAGAGAGTCTTGGACTGCTCCAAACCCTCCAGAAGAGGTTTCGCGCTCTTGGACTGGCATGCTCCGAAGTTACATTGCTTTGGATATCATAGACTGCCGTCTCAGGTCAGCCGCTTCTTCTTGCCTGTCTAGCTCGATCGAGGTAACTTGCCTTTCCACAACTTGTGAAGGACCTGCGAATTGGTGACTTGGGAATCAGACTCGTCCAAATCATGTCGCCCGGAGGTGATTGTCGCATTGATCAGGCCTTCGGGTAGGACGGCCGTCATGACATGCGGCAATTAAGGATGCCCTTTCTCAGCTCCACCAAGCTGACACTGAACGTTGAGATGCCGAAATGACCAGAACATATCCTCTTGTGCCAACAGCTCGGGTACACACACTATCAGCTGGTCCGTGGCCACAGGTAGGGACGACCGGCAAGGAAGCCCAGGTGCAAAATGACAATGGCGGCGATAGCAGGAGCGCAGGAGCCCGCCGCAGCAGGCGCAAGTGGGTGGAGAGGATCTGGGGATGAAGTTGCCGGTGTAGTGCGCAAGAACGAGGCCGAAGAACCAAGGGAATTATTATTTTTCCTGTTGTGCCGCCGACGGGAGACTGGGGCTTGTGCGGCCGGGAACACCTAGCGCTGGTGGATTTCTTGGGCTGGCAGCGGGAGGAGGCAGCTGAGGGCGAAGGCTAAGGCTGGAGGAGGTGGTGAGGGTAGCAATGGCTGCACACGCCCGAGTCAAATGACTTGCTGGGAGGTTCGTAGAAGCGACGCTGGAGGAATCACAGGGGGAGGATGAGAGATGAGGCGGTCACTCTGGCGTCTACCAGTCTCAAGAGGGTCTCTGGGCCCCGTTCCCGAAAGCCTAAACTAACATGCGGCCAGTCAAGAGAAGGCGCGCCAGAGATCCGTGCAAGTTGGGTGAAGTCGGAGCCTGACAAGTCGGGCTAACGACGGCACGGACTCGTGGTTGAGCGGATGTGAGGGACACTGGGACAGAGGCGGTTGAACGCCTTGCTTCGGGCCGAGGACGGTAAGAGGCCAACAGGACGACAACGAGGCCAACTTGGACGAGGTTTCCGACAGACTGGGAGCTGGAAGCAGGGAGCCAGGGAGCAGGGACGAGGAACGAGGGATGTCAATAGAAGTCAGAGCAGGGTGACTGGTCGGTACCGACGAGCAATCCGAAGTCCTGAGGGATGGAGAGGCAGCAACCTGCAGAGTCAGACGACCGCGGAGTGGCAAGGTCGGATGGGGACCTTGTTATTCTCGGGCAGGTCCACGGCAGCCGGCATCCAACGCAGGAACACGGTTGGGCCACAGGATCGAGGCACAGAAGCGGAGAGACAAGGGGTCGAGCTGGTTGACGGAGGATACCTAGTAGTAGAGACCGTAGGGTCGGGTGGACGGAGCTTCAGAAAGTCTGGAATGGGACATACGAGCCGTCAACTTGGGACCGAGTACGTACGGAGTACAGAGTAGCCCGCGCCTGACGGGGACGCGAAGGGGGATAGTTCATGACAGAAGAGATACAGAGATACAGTAGGGGCCGGGGGGGAGGCCGGAAAGGAATTGGACAGGTACATCATCCTGGATTGGATGGAGACGAGCGGAATATGGAATTTGCGCGGTCTGGATTGGGCCGCAACGAGGACAACGATCTGGAGGATCAGCAGGTTGTCCATGCCAGTCCGACACTTCGATAGTGGCCTCCCATCGCCCCATCTGCCATCAACTCAGTTGGTCAAGTGGAGTTCTGACAGCACCAAGGGCCCAAGGGGGGAGGGGAGGGAAAGGAACATCTCTGCAGTGTGCACCATGTTGAGTGGATACCTGACGTGAGTGTACGGAGTATAGCACATACGAGGACGGAATACACAGAAAGAGGGAGGAGGGGGGAGGAGGAGAACTTGAAGGGGGACAGTCGGAGGGGCCAAGAACAAGACCGAGAACAGGAACAGGAACGAGGAACGGGCAAAAAGACCAAGAGGCTAGCAGACCGGATAGATACTAAGGTACGGAGTAGATAGACCAGGTGACCACATGGCCTTGCCGACGACTCTTGAAAGAAGGAAAGAAGGAAAGAAGAGAACAGAAGGAAAGGCGAGGCGAAGAATGCCACCGTCTCGACGCCGCAGCAGGAGCCGGGGGGGAGATTGACAGGGGTGCCATCCAGCTCCGGATCCTTGAGCCTCACCGCCGTTACTGTACTTGTTACATTTCTAGCAGGCAGTAGGTGGCAGATACGGAGTACATACATGGAGGTAGGTACATCAGATAGCCTTAGGGCCACTGTTGGCTGGTATATACATGTACCTACCTACCTACCGCTACCTTACTGTGTGCTGGACCTCGTGGGTACTTCTTTACCTGTATGGTTTGGGCAAGCCAGCTTACCAGGTAGGTACATGTGCTGCTCGCACTTTACTCTGATTGTCAGGTACAGCCTCATGTACTCCGTACTCTGTCTGTGCACTGGACAGCTGCGGTGTACCCATGTTGTCACCGCCGAAACTTGGAAGTCTATTCTGCGCCGGGTACGTAGTTCTTCCGCTTCCGCCCTGCGGCCTTTGAACTAGGTAGTATCCTCAGTCATCACCTACTACAGAGTAGTTGTACCGACATGTATCTACCTAAAAAGTAGAGGAGTACCAGGTATCTGTACTTCCTCGGCTTGGCCTCAGCCACCTACAGTACATACTACCACTGCAGCACTGCCTAGTCCTGAGCCTAAGCCTTGCTAGTCACCGGTGCCGACGTTCCCACTCAGGCTTGTCTCTATCCCATGCAGCTGCGCCGTCCGCGCTCCTGGGTCGGACATGGATTCCTCTAGATCCTAAGCTTTCACTCACCGACTCCCGAGGCCGCCACGTTGCCTGTTGCCAGAAAGTGACAGGGACAGGGGCAATAATGAACTCCACAGCTGCCGACTGCACCCAAATCCCCCAAGACCCTGGTCGCTTTGCTACCCATCTCGACTCCGTACCGAGTACTCCGTACCTACCTCATGCTTTTGGCCAAGGGTTCGAAACGCGAGCCAGGAGAAAAATAAAGAGAGAGAGAGAGGGCCGTGGAGTGGACGGGGGGTTATCACAATCCAAAGACTCATGTGATATAGTCATTTGTGCAATCATGCAATGCAGTCTGCGCCATCACTCGGTGCGATCCCCTTCCACGTCGACGGGCATCCCACCCTTGCAGGGGCCTCGCATGTGCTCTACGCCTGAACCAAGAAATATGTACGGAATACATACCACCACAAGTTGACACTGTAATGCTAAGCCGAACCCCGGCCGATCTCCATATCACCACCCTGCCTGTGGTGTGCATGCACATGCCAATGCCCATGCCAATTCCAATGCCACATGGTCACACCCGGCAAACAACGCAGCCTGTCCCCGGTCGCTAGCCAAGCTCTCTCGAAGAGTCGAGAGTCGAGAGTCGAGAATCGAGAAATCGAAATCCTTGCTTGGCCTGGACCGGTCTTTCCACTGTCCTGATGCAGTATGATCGTCACACATATCCTTTCCGGCCCTATCTTGAAGTCGGACCCGCCCAACACAACACCGTGAAGGTAATGCCTGAGAAGCGAGTCTGAACCGTGCCCAAAATCTCATCTATGTGTAATGGCTTATTGAATTGATACGGCTGTGGCTCTCAGAACCCGTGTTACGTGGGAGCCTCGAGTTTCGACCATCCCACTCCATCGTCGATCATTTTGCTGAATGTAACAATGGCACGCTACAGCTGGCCTGCAGATGCTGCTACAACTAAGCGAACGTCTACCAAGGCCACCGGATATCACGACCTGGGATGTTTGTTTTCCGGACCGTAGGTAAATTTAACTCAACCACCTTTAGCAACGTATATGCAGGAATGCAGATCAGTCAATTAGTGCCCGAATACCCCTTCTATTGAACGCTATCTATTGAATTCCCTCCAACCATTCCGCTCCAAATCAATGTACCCTGACCGACTGGATCCGGTGTTTCTCCTGGGTTCTGTCTATAGGGTTGTACTGTGCTCGATAGCCAGGCTGAAATCTCGATGATCAAGTGCAAGTGTATCTGGAAACGTCCTGTCAGTAACCGAGCTCAACCAAGAAGGGAACAAGCCTTGTCGGTCGAGATATGCTAGACATGCAGTTGCTGACCGACACATGGCGATGACGAAAGTGCAAGGACTTACCCTCCATCAACACGCAAATCGGCTCCCGTCACGTATCGACTCGCGTCGCTGAGCAGGTAGACCACGGCGCCCTGCAAGTCCTCGGGGGATCCCATCTTTCCCACAGGGATGAGGGATGTCCAGGTCTTGTTGAGCTCCGGCTTGTCATCGAGGATTTTACGGGTTCTGCAGACAAGCTTTGTTAGTATAAAGTCTCAGGCGGCCAAAGCATGGGACCGAAAACTGGAAAGGAGACGTACAATGCTGTCAACATATAACCTGGACTGATGCAGTTGACTCGGATGTGCGCATGGGCCCATTCCACCGCCAAGCTGGCAGCCAGATGGCGGATTGCTGCCTTGGCCGCATTGTAGGGCGCTTGGGGTTGCGGCACATTGACAATGGCGCCGGACATGCTGCCAATGAAGACGATGCTGCCGTGAGTTATGTTCCGGTCCATCAAGTGCCTTGCAACGCCTGTTGCAAACAGATAGGTTCCATCAACGTTGACACCCCACAACTTTTTCATACGATCATACGGATATATCTCTGCAGCGAAGTTCTCGGTGAAACCGGCCGAGGTGACCAAGTGGTCAATCTTGCCGTGTTTGTCGACGATTTCGCCAATGCATTCGGTCACGCTCTCAGGATCGGACACGTCACAATAGTGGGCGGTGATTTTGGGGACGACTTCAGGGTCGTCTGGGTTCTCCCGGCGGAACATCTCCACGAGCTCCTTGGCTTGTTTTTCACCTTCCTCCTCTACCAACTGGTTAGCGCCTAATATTTAGGGGAGGCGTCACTGCGGGAAAGCTCACTGTTCAAATCGACGATAGCTAGGTCTGCGCCGGAACTGACCAAAGCCTGGCCCATGACAAGACCAAGGCCGCGGGCGCCACCGGTGACGACGGCAGTACGGCCCTCGAGCGAGAAGGTCGGCAAGGTGCGAACAAAGTGCACGCCACCTCTGCCTCTCAGGGGCGGTTGGTGGGCAGCTAATTCGGACTCATCATCTGGATACTCGACGATAATATCTCGATCGGTCCGGGAAGCTGAGCCTTCGTGCGGGCCAGCAGAAGTGCCGGTTGCATCTGTACTGACTTTATGATAGGGGTCTGAGTCGTTCTTTCTTCGCGGGCTGTGGGTGATCCTCTGGGAGGAGGTGGTGTTCAGAAGGCGAGCGCTGGTTTTGACCAGTGGAGTGTTGGTCACCCCCGCCGCCGGGCGAGCAGCCAGGCGACTGGAGGTGTGCCGAAGCAGGCGGAGTGTGGAGGCAGTGTTCATTCTGAGGCAAACAAGTGACTGGAAAAGATGGTTTCGTCTCCGTTCGGACCGTGGGACTCTTTTGCTGGACTCCTGCTGTCGTCGCTGTTTCTCAATCGGCCCAGAGTAGCAGGCAGGCAGGCAACCTTGTCGACAAACAGGACAATGTTGTTGATGTTATTATTCTCCCTCTTAACTTTGTGGCTCGTAGCTTCTCCTTTTCGTATGCGTGTGATGGAGGCTTGAGGACTTGAAGTGTTCAAGTGACGTTTTTATCTTCTGCGTCTTGTCTCGTCTCGAGATCTTCGTGTCGAGCGTGTTTTCGAGGGCTTTTCAGTTTGCTCAGATGCAGGCTGCCTGAAGTCAGTGTTGTGATCCCACTGCTAATGATGTTACACTGTGGACGCGTCTTGCAGTAGCTTACCCCAACACTGGTCAATGGACGGGTCGAGATTCGAGCGGAGCTGGGTGCAGAACGGCCGAGATTCTCGTCAGAATACCTGACAACTAGTCGTCTCGAGTAATAGCTGAATCAGTGAAAGGAAAGGCAACTCCTAGAAGTGTCGATGTCACACTATGGGCCTCTGTGAATTGTCCAGATAGACAAGAAGTCCAGGTCGTCAGGGTAGCAATAAATTATTCAGATACAGTGGCAGCTACGTATGCAGTCCCACGCCCTCTGTGTTGGATCTGTCCACTTCCAGAGCAAAAAGGGGGGGTCTATGCACCGTGGAGGGGCCCTTGGGCCCTTTGATGTCATTTCGACTGATTTTCGTACACCGACTCCCCGTCCACTTGAAGCTACTGGCTCCGAAGCGCAGCCGCTGTGGATTTCATTGGGACGCTGCAGGGTTTCCAGGCTTCACAAGCACTAGCTAAAAGAGATCTCCAGGGCCGGCTTATTAGGGGCTTAGGACGCCCTACTGGCTGCAGCAAGAGATGTCCTCTAGAGCCGACACGCCCGTGGGATTCCTGCACCGTAGGCACCATAGCGGTGAATTAGGCTACCAACTCGTCACCGGCTTGTGCGGAAGCCTGCAGCCGATCTGCACCAGAAGTCTCACCTTGTGGAGCCGCCTAAGAGGCTGCGACGGTTTCTTCTCGGCACCGTTCAACATCGAGATCATCAGGACCTGCGTGTTTCCATTATGGCAAAAGATGTGCGCGCCCAGATTGGCCAGACACCAGACAGTAACATGGATAGTACTGTCACCAACTGTACTCTTATATTGCTGCACATGACATGTGCACCTAGCACCATAGGAATCTGGAATATTTACAGTACTCATTCCTCTTCCTGGCCGCCCTCAGCCACAGATATATCTCTTCTCCAACGAGCTGCACTACCTGCAGGGACCTTACAAAAGTCTGGCCGAACAAGACTCGACAACAATGCTCAAAGGGGTCCTATAGGGAACTGCCCTCCACCACCTCACAAGCACACATATATGCACGCCGACGGATGGCTTGACTCGATCTCGGTTGAACATGCGAATCTCCTTTAACCCAATGTCATGGGAGGCGCACAACCAGCTGGGAAACGCCTAAGAAGACTGGAATTTCAACACTTTATGCCTGAAAATGCGGACCAATACATACGTAATTGATATCTTGTTAGACGCAAGACGACTACTCGCACTATGAAAGTCGATCTGCACAATATGCTAATTGCAGGTCCCGATTGTTCCCAAAGTGTGCGGATACTAATCATGGCTTTCCAGGTCTGGGGACCCTCCCAGCCCATCTCTCCCTAAAGAACCACAAAGTGCCCGCGACGGCGGTGAGGAACCAAAGCACCATCCCAGCGAGGTCGAAGCCGACAGCTACCTTCATGCGGTGTATCCCGGTCTCCATCTCGATCTTCTCATTCAGGTACATGTTCCCAAAGATACCCGACAGTGCCGCCCAGAGCACCACAAGCGTCCATTCCCAGGCAAACAAGAACGTCAGGCTACGGTAGTGCATGAACACAGAGATTAAACCATACCCGACGGCTGTTGCTGCGGCCAGGGACCCCACGACCACCGCATAAACCTGCAAAATGAAGATTAGTCGAACGAACTCAGGAGGCATCGAGTCATGAGAGGGGTGTACCCATTTGCCGTCGCTGTACTTGTCCTCTTTGCGCGCTCGGTTGAGGTCGATGCCGTACAGACCGATGACGACCAACCCGTCTATCAGCTGCAGGGTGCGAAGGAGCAGATTGAGCACGTTCGAGAGGCGGAAATTGGTAAAGAACTTGCTGAAGGGCGCCATACTGGACACGGTAGGTGATAGATTGAGGTGTGGGTTTCAGACTGGCTGATATATCGCTTCTTGTGCGGCTAGACGCGCTGGATTTGTGGCACTGATCTGCTTGATTAGCAAAATTCGGTGGGTTATGAAAAATATGGCTCTCGACCTCCAATGTAATATTGAACATGTGATATCCAAGGAAGACGAGTTATCAGACGCTGGCTGTGTCGCGCCTTTGTAGCTTGGTGACTTCAAAGCAGTCAGAAAGGACAAACAAATACCAACCTCAGATAAAGAATCGCCGCCCCGTCGTTTGTCGCTCTGGCAGTGAATCGCTTTGTGACAAACCGCACTGAAGGCGGCCCTTTGTCTTTACTGTGCCAATTGCAAAATAAGAGCACAGCCACGACTCTGGTGGGATTCAGTGTCAGTGATACTATGTCGTAGGCCAATCTGCAGGTCACAATACTCGTCTTGTATACCAGGTCACTGGATTGAAAAGAATCACAACCTGGTACAGATATAGTGACAAGCAGAGGGAGAAGACCTCCGCGCCATATACCCATATGACACTACAATCAGGCTCCGTCTGTTGCAGGATTTGGTGTACACTAGAGCAGGATGTGAACAATACCGGTGCTGGGATAGTTGCCACGTGCGTCATCGCGATGCCTCACCACTGGTGACCACCACCGTCCTGTCTACCTGATCTGCGAGTCTACTCTGTACGTGTCGTGTCAGGGCTTTGGTATGCTGGGGCGCGGCCAGTGCCCCCGGTTGTGTCAACTGGGCATCAGTGATTGGGCAACAATGTCTTTGTGATCGGCAGCTCGACCCTTGGGACCATGCCTGTCGTATCAAGTCACGATCCCTGTCTGTCACGAGCTCACAGCCTGGGTCCTGAATCGAAAATGTGAATACGGATTTCCATCCTAGTTAAGATTGGACTATTTTCCCAGATTCTCCTGACTCAAAACGACTGACCAGAGGACGACCTTGATTCGCGGAGAGGAGTATGTGCAGGCTATGCTAGGGCTAGGGCCAATGTAACGGGAACAACTAATTACACAGACCACGCAGAGGATTAAGGCTCCAAAAGATGACCAGACAAATCAGTGAGAATACGAAACACCAGAGAACCAAAGAGGAAGGACGCCAGAAGAAAGCGAAAGGAAACAGGCGGAGCACTCGAGGCTCAACGTCAACGTGCCCCTCCGCCTCCTCCGGTTCCCCCTCCAGCCTTGTCTGTTTTCGTAATCGGTGTTGACGGTGCCGGTTGCTTACCCACCCCTTGAGGCGTCGGTGCGGGCATCGGAACTGGGTCATCGTCGTAGCCATAATCCAAATCATCATCCCCAAGTTGGTCTAATGGTTGATCGTCGTATGCTTGCTGATGGGATGCGCCTGTCGCATGATTGGCTGCTTTGGCCGCATGCTTGCTCTGCTTCCGACCTTTTCGTCCCTTGAGTTTGGCCTTTTCCAACAGCCGTCTCTTTTCAGCTTGCCGACGCCGTTCTTTGCGGTCCTTGATCTCGTACTGACGAATCAGAGCATGCGGTGGCTCGCCGAATATGCTCTCATACTCGCAGAACTCACAGATCCATAGGTCCTCCGGGGCCGGTGGATGCTGCAAGTTATTGTACTCTTGTTGGAGCTTTCTCTGCCGAGCAGCCAGAGCGTACACGTCACCTTTCCGTCTCCGTGGCTTCTTCCCCTGCGAGTTGGAGGCCCCTGCCACCGCGGGTGCAGCTGGAGCCGATTGAGTACCCCGGGGAGGTGCACTGGGGACTGTGGCCGCATTTGCGGCTCCTCTCTGGTAGCCTGCTGTTTGAGAGGCAGGAGTTGGGTTATTACGCTGGTTGTACCCAGGAGAGTACAAACTCTGTTCGGGGAAGGTCACCCCTTTAGCCTCCGTCTCGCAGGTGAAAGTAAACTGTGAATTGGTGTGTGCCTGTTTGACCTGTTGGTCCAGGACGCCCACGTTTTCCTGTCCTTTGCTCAGTGGCTTGCGCAAGAGTGCAGTGGCATTGGCAATCGCGGCAGAGATGATTCCTTGATCTTTCGAGTCCTCGGCTTATAAAACATTAGTCAAATCCAATCATTGTCATTCCTTCCACATTTTGATTTACCTTTTGCGTTGGCGCTCATATTCAGGTCGTACTTGGACGGACCATTCCGTACGTTGGAGCCATTCACCGAAACACCCAGTGGATTGCGGCCTGGAAGCTTCCTGCTGCCGCGACCTCTGCCAGCACCTTGGACCCCAAGACCAGGACTGCCCCCTGAATGCTTTGTCGTATGGTAAGAATCATCGACTGAACCATCCCTGCTGCCACTAAGACTCAGATGCGCGAGGTCGTTGGTCATGGCTGAGTGGTGTAGACTCAAACTTCCAGACGTGGGGATTTTTCTCTTCTTTTTGTTGTTCGTATTTTCGAATGCTTCATATCCATCAGGCCCAGAGATACCACTCTTCGTCGAATATCTTGCATGGTGTGGTGTTTGGGGAGACCGTGGTGAATTAACAAAGTACTGGGTCACAGGGACCATACCTTCAAGATCATCTAAATCATCCTCATAGTCGTCATGGTGACAATGATGGTGATGATGAGGACAGTCATGGTCGTCATGGTCGTCATCATCATGGTCGTGATCATGGTCGTGATCATGATCATGTTCGTACCCATCACTGTGGTGGTGAACGAGAATTTCCTTGTCACTCGAATATTCTCCATTTTCCCCGTAGTGAGTATACGTCGGTAGACTTGTCGACGGTAGCGTAGGAGGGTAGGTGATGGCCTCAACAGCGTCTTGAGACAGTCGACTTTTGATCGACCGTTTGGGTAGGGGCCGAATCAGCCGTTCGGGGAACACTGTTGAGGGCGTATCGGGGGAGGAAAGGTAAGAAGCATCTGAACCACAAGGTCAATTTCCAGGAAGATACGACGCTGTGACAGGGTCGAAATTGTTGTCCTTAAACAGCCTCGAGAGACATACTGTACGCCATCTTGTCTTTCTTCCTTCTCTTCTATCAAACCAGCAAGGATTTTTCAATCCCCATCCAAGCGTGGCTCTTCAGCCTAGGAATCGATACTGTGCAAGACGAATTTCTATTAGCAAAGAACTTGGTAGACGTGCAGGCCGGGACCACCGATTAGATGGGAGCATTTCTCAGATACATCAAGGATGACCGATGTATCTGCAATTCTGATCGAGGATATGGATATCGAACATACCCCCCGTGTGAATTATTCAGCCAGATCTGATCGACTTCTGGCTCAAACGTGTGGGATTGATGTTTGCCAGACCGATTTCACCAGAGTCTATCGATGCAGTAAAGCAGCTACCCGATATCCAAGTGTGCAAAACCAGAATTGAATGGCTGGATGGTCAAGTCTAGTAGTCACAAAGTGTCTTTCGAGTTCCAGCGGCTTTCGATGGAAAGCTAGCAGGCGCAGTGTCCGTTTCACTTGCCAAGGCACGTAAAATCGGGCCCCGAGGTCGCCCCTTTTCGGGACGAGGGTGACGCCGCCCTATACTCACCCCCGGCTCGCGCGAGTCAGGGTGAGACCGCACCCGTGATAGAGACAATCCGACTGACTGTCCTGAATAGCATGGAGGGCTATTCCTGTCAAGCATATCTATTCAGGAGCCCAAATCTCTGCCAACAAGTGGCAGGATTCCTAGTCTTTTTGGGCGACCCCCATAGGGTTGGGGCTCCTTCCTGACACTGACTTTCTCGTTGGGGCCACATGGTAGGCTGCAGCTTGATCATTGCCATCGTCTCTTCCAGTACTGTCCACACCATATGGAACACGCATCGGACGCAGAGTTGGCACCAGTCACATATGTCAATACACGCTACCCTACAAACAGACAGGACTTCGAATAACCTGGTTGGCTTCCTGCGTCCGGGAGTGTTTTGATAGTGTTCAATGTTCCGTTCTCTTCTCTTCAGGTGTTTCCCTCATGGCGTTCGAAAGGCTCGAATGACCGGGCAGCTCGGTCGAACGCGTCCTCAACCTCTGCTCTTCCAGTTTACGCAGGAGCGCTCCTCAGTCTTCGAGCAGCCATGGCTTGCTCCCATAACCATGTGAGATTTTCGGCGAACTCATCGAGTCGGTCGACGGTGATGCTAACTCCTATTTTTCGCGACTCTAAAGGGTATACCACTTTCCCATGCTCATCTTCAACGCTTATATCGTTATCATCAAACTTGAGCATACGCCTAGTGAAATACGATTTACGTCGTAACAGGCTACGGTTGTTGGAAAAGATGATCTTTCGCACTGATCCATCGGCTCCTACGCATTTAAACGTTGATTTGCCAGTCTTGGTGTAGAGGTCAATTTGATCCAACGTGCCGATTTGGTAGACTTCTCCTTTTCGCACTTTGATCTTCTCGAGGCTCTTTCTTTCTTATACCATTTGCTGTACAATACTTTAGAGAATATCGCGTCTCATTTTGGTCGTCATGATGGCAATATCGGCATTTCTCTCCACAACATTCTCGTGGAAGAGATCTTAAACAGCCTGAGGCAGAGTGGTAATATCACGTAGACTGTCAAGGCAAACGGCAAGATAGTACCCAGCTGGTATATTCATGGCGTAGGAAATCCACTCCTCCGGCTTAGCGAATATATTCAAGGCATCTTTAAGCTCCGCCTTGTCCGTAGCCCACTGCGTACGAGCCCATTTGGCACGTTGTAGACTTCCTGGTTCTGTGGATGTTCTGGGGAAACGGTCCCGTCGATCGAGGTACGCACTCTTCTCAGCAATACGTATTATTGGCGGTTGAGAACTAGACATGTCTGACGATTCTGTGTCGGCAATAGAGCGCTTTGCTGGTACTCTAGCTTTTCTACTCGAAGATAGTCGCTCGGTGAATAATTTCTTCGCGTTACTCTAAGCGTTCTTAAATTCCACAGCTTAAAGCCTGGCCTCTACACGTGCTATGATTTCTTAATAGAGAAAATATCGGTCTTAGGTCAGATCTAGCCTAGAACTTAGAACAATTAGCGCGGTGTCTACATAGACCCAGACCTGGATCCAGCATAAGAAATACAAGCGGCGGAATGATGTCGATTAATCTGTGCGCGCGTCAAATCCGGGGTGATATTGCGGCAGTATAATGGTGTAGGCTTTTTCTACATCACCTCCGACAAATTCGATACGGGCATTGCATATTTTCCCTAAAAGATCCCTGACTAATTTGGTACCTATTTTACATGTTCATGAGATGACATACCGAGCAGGTTGAGGGAGGCAGTATGACAAGGTTCGCTCACTAAGCGTGATTGTCAGTAATGGCGCAACCGCGGCCATGTCAGTGTGGAAGATTTTCTGTATCGTAGCCGGAGGCATTAGCAGAGCCCATGGGGTTTTCAAAGGGGAGAGCATTGGTTCTGAACTACTTTGACATTTGTATCAGGTTTGCGCGATGGCTGACACGGCCAATAAAAGACGTTAGTAAAGGATATCAGCCGCAGCAGGTCATTCAAGTGGCTTGACGTTATGAAGCTCGATTCGCAATCAAGGCAATCTTCAAGATACCCAATGATAGTGTCACATGTTACCGAGCTTCCATCAAAGAAGCTAGTGTCCTCCCGAATGGCTTGCTCTATCACGGCTTCTCCAATGATTGCGGCTATGCAGTGACCATGGAATGTTTCGCTAGCAGCTTGCTCAACATGGTGAGTTTTGACGTACTGAAGATTTGACTCTGTTAAGTCGCTGTTCGGAAGGTTTTCGCGAATTTGATGGCAGATGGTTTCAGTAATTGCGAACAGTCGCATCTTGGTTTGGACGTCCATGTCTTTCATGACGGATTACGAAACTGTGTGCATTACCGTGGCACCGATAGTGCTTAGCATTGTAATGTCTCTTGGGCTGGGAGTAAAAGATAGTCTGTGGCCTCCAGCCTGTGTATTGAGCAATGATGAAGATCCAAATAGTGTTATCAAAAAGCGCTCGAAAGAATCTGTGATTCTTCCCTTGATTCTGGCAAAATGATCTGAGCTGTATTTCCCGAGCAGCCAGCTGGTAGCCGTGTCATAGAAAGCGAAAACGTGAACGTGTTTGGAGCGATCTAAGTCAAGGCGCTCGTAGTGCCGCTTGAGTTCGTTACTCAAAATAGCTCGAGCCTTGGGGCCTTTTGTTGATTTGGCGCAACGTTGATAGGGGGTGAAGGAGGTGGTCTACCCAACATACCGAATCCAAACTGTTTGGTCATTATTCACACCTCTAAGCTGGGACTTCCAGCTTTCAAGCTGTGGAAAATTGGAGTTATTTTGCTCGAGATGCTCGATCATGACGAGAAGCTGTTATTTGCTGATACGCCATGATCGATAGTAGCAGACTGACCCTTTCTGCAGAATATCTGAACTGCGAGATCTCTTAATGCGAAAGATTTGTGCCAATTCCTGGTCTGATACGGTGATTGGCGTAGACAATAGGCGTCTGAATATATCTTGCCGGAGCTCACCGTCGTGTGGTTTTGGAAGAAATGCGTGCATCGCGGATGCGGTCATGTGTCTCGTATCAGCGCCGCGGCTGTCCAGCTGTTCCTTGATATCTTGAAAGATCTTCGCATGCAAGATGGCGGAAGTCTTGAAGGTTTCATCTCGATTGCGATTGACTGGTGGCCCAGCTGAAAAAGATCGATGATATGGTCGGTATCTGATGGGTTGAGAGAGCTGAAAAGAATAGGAGCGACCACTTCGACGCCGGCGATTGAACATTAGCCTATTGGGCACAACCGAGGGCATTCACCTACCGAGATGGCTCCATCGCATAGCAATATCTTAAATCCAGTCAATCTGTGATACAGTGCAACAATATGAGTGCGAAATGGTTGGATTCTTTTCAAGCGACTGCGGCTATCAAATATTTTGAGTCATGTTTTCGCAAGGGTAGAGCAATGGTTCACCAAGTCAATGTGAGGAATGCCAGAATGGTTGTTGACAACATTCACAATACCCAAGTAACCCACAGTTAAGGATGTTTAACTCGCGATCAACACTGCCGGTGTCTTCCGCGCGTAATAGTGTCTTCATCTTGATGGTAAGTCCGCGTTTACTGCGCTGTGAATATCTTGTATCTAAAGAATCATCAGACACTTTATCTAAAGCTTCTTGCTTTGACAGTTGATGTCTTTGACCCTCAACGAAGAAGAGCATAGCTAAGTACGTAGGCACTAGGTAGCTACAAGAACGAGGGTGGTGAGGTCGTGGACCCAAGCTCAGCCTTTAGGGTAGAACGTAGTCTTGGCTCAAATAATTCACTTTATATATTAAAGTTGCAAATTTGTCTCCAACAATACCTGTCGACACGATTCGATCGTCAGACGGAGAGATGGCCGAGCTTGGTTATGGCGTCAGGTTAAGGCTTCTAAGTCTTAGCACTTGTTATCTAGTCTCATTGACCGGATAGACGTTTCCTGATGGGGCAACCCGCGTGGGTTCGAATCCCACTCTCTTCAACACGCTTCACTTTCTTTTTTACCGTTTCATTTTTCTTTTTGCCCCTTTTCCATAAAGAGTCGTGTTAAGATATGAATATATGTCGGGGTTTTATAGTAATTATATAATATAACGTGCACGTACACGCACACGTATATGCGCATGTACAAGCTATTTACTAAGTACATTAATTATATTATTGTTTTGTAGCTTTTATGCTCTGTACTCCGTACTCTACGAATCTCTAAGTGCCTACCTTATATATAAGGCCATGTCTAGAGGTTTGTTCTTGCCCTTAAGGTGTATCTACCGAGTTAATTGCCAAGGCACGTAAAATCGGGCCCCGAGGTCGCCCCTTTTCAGGACAGTGATGATGCCGCTCTAAGTTCGACCAGGAGCCTTTTCGCCCCAGCTCAAATGAGGCTCTCATTGTTTCAGAGCCTGATAAGTTGCTGCACTGAGTCCAATAGATGATCTCGGTGGCCCGGTCGCCCGAAAGAATACGTGCATGGATGACCGGCAAGAAGATTCTGCACGGTACCTACCTAGGTAGTGTTGGTTGACCTGTGAGTCTCCTATATCACCGCGCAAGTTGTAATGGGGTAGCATTGAGAATGGTCAATTTGGCTATTCGACCAGGGCCTCCTTGGAATGTATATGCTCGATTCTATCTGAAGTATCCTCTTCTAGAATATTGATGCGAATTGGCCGATGGGAAGTCCCCGCAGCTTCTCACACTTTATGTGCTTCCTTAGAAGATACGTGAAAGACAGCTAGTTTTTTCAGGTCTTTTGCCTCTCTCAACAAATGGATGTTGTCACTGAAAGCCTGTGTCCCTCTGAACTTCAAATGCGCCTCGACACTTTCCCATCCAAGGAGGCCGATGAAGGCTTTGGCCTTCGCGGAGCCGTCAGGAAGATCAAGCTCTTCGGCGACCCAACCGCCCGCCGAGCCTTTGAACCCCTTCGCAGTCCCTTCGATGACTTTAACGAGCTTTTTAACACGTTCTTCGACCGCTTTTTGGTCCTCTTCCGAGTAATCGGCCGGGAAGTAAAAGGTGATGAACTCCGTGGCAAAGGGACCGCCATCGGCCAGAGCCACAGTGGGCGGATGAGGGTCAAAGTGAACATGGTAGAAACGAGGCGGGCCCGACAAGAAGGCCCCGATCTCGCCGGAGAATGGCTTATACGCGCTGTGCATCTTGTCAATTTCCAGCCTTTCACTGTTGGGTGCGGACTTGGCTTACTCAGACGCAATGAACTTCTCATGGTGTCCAATGCTGTCCCAGTCGATGAAGAGATTATAGATGGAAGGATGTTCAACTTGTGGGCCCCAATACAGTCGCTGAGCGCCGTCCTGAGCTAGGATTGTCTCTAAGATGCTCTTGAACTTCTGCCCGGCAGTACTGGTAGCATCGTCGGGATAACTCTCCTCTTTGAGGGGTAGAAAGCAGATTTCTGTTGCTGGCGCCATGGTTTCAGGTTGGTATCTACTCCGCTGTGTCTCAAGAGGTTGGGGTGTAGAGGATACGGCTGCGAACACGGGGTCCAGGTTACAGGTGCTGACTGGGATCAGTAACTAAGAAGTGGGAGGCGGAGGATGCGGGCGTGAGCTGTATGGCATCATTAGCTTTGCTTTGTCACGAGCTGTGCGAGAAAACAGCTAGCGAGTCAGAGAATCTGAGCGATTCCCGCACCGGAATTATGCTGATCGTGTTCGAGAACAATTTCGACGGCTATTCCGACACAATTCACAATGTTGAGATCTCCACAATGTTGCTGTCTTGCCGAGGAGGTTGACGGCCGGGGGCGCACCACCGATGGTAGCCATAAGTACTCTTTATGTGGCCCGTAGGTGGCCCGGGTCTGCAACGCGGTTATCCACGGCATGCAGAGATCCCTCCACGCTTCATCGCACCCCGGCTGCGCCTGACTGAAATCAACATATGTATTTGGGGACCCCCCGGGGAGCCACCCACAACACAGTGGTATGTTCGATCGACAAAGAGCTCTGTTTGTTCAAAGCCTCGGTTTGTGCCTGGGCGAACGCCAGCCATGCCTGCAGGCTATCCTCCCACTCCCACGCTGCTGAGGAATCTCGGCCGCGTTATCAGAGAACAACACCCTCCTTCTCGTCCCAGCCCTTCCCTTCTCCGCTTACGACCACGACCACAACTCCAAGTCCGATCAGCGGCAACTTTCACACACCGACAACATGCGCAAGCCATCTCTATCTTGCCCACCCTGGTGGACAAATCCAGCCCGGACTTCAAGGACAATGCGGCACAGCTGACCGAGGTCATGTCCAAATATGCCGACCTACATCAGAGAACCAGCCGGGGCGGATCAGAAAAGGCACGGGAGAAACACGTTAAAAAGGGGAAGATGCTTCCACGAGACCGGGTCACAGCACTCATTGACCCTGGAAGTCCGTTCCTGGAACTGTCGGCCCTCGCTGCAAATGGAGTCTACGACGAAGATATACCTGCAGCCGGTGTCATAACCGGGATTGGAACTGTCGAGGGCGTGACCTGTATGATAGTCGCCAACGATGCGACCGTCAAGGGCGGTTCGTACTACCCACTGACGATCAAGAAGCATCTCCGGGCCCAGGAAATCGCCCAGCAAAACAGACTGCCGTGCATATACCTGGTGGACTCTGGTGGAGCAAACTTGCCTAAGCAAGCCGACGTCTTTCCTGACCGAGACCATTTCGGCCGCATCTTTTTCAACCAAGCGAGGATGAGTAGTTTGGGAATCCCGCAGATCGCCGTCGTCATGGGCCCATGTACCGCTGGCGGGGCCTATGTGCCGGCCATGTGCGACGAGTCCATCATCGTGGAGAACCAGGGTACCATTTTCCTGGCCGGTCCTCCGCTCGTCAAGGCGGCCACAGGAGAAGTCGTGTCTGCCGAAGAACTCGGCGGCGGCCAGCTCCACAGTACCATCTCCGGGGTGACGGACTATCTCGCGGTGGACGACGCCCACGCCCTCGTCCTAGCCCGCCGCTCCATCGCAAATCTCAATTACCCAAAGGAACAGCCTGCGCCAGAAGAAGTCCGCGAGCCGCTCTACGACCCGGAGGATCTGGCTGGAATCGTAGGCACAAATCTTCGCAAGCAGATTCCTATGCATGAGATCATTGCTCGCATCGTGGACGGCAGCGAGTTTGCCGAGTTCAAGAAGGACTACGGCACGACACTGCTGACAGGGTTTGCAAAGATACACGGCTATCAAGTTGGCATCGTCGCCAACAACGGCATCTTGTTCTCCGAGTCGTCTCTGAAAGGCGCACACTTCATTGAGCTGTGCTGCCAACGCAACATTCCGCTGGTTTTCCTTCAGAATATCAGTGGGTTCATGGTCGGCGCCGATGCCGAGAAGGGCGGAATCGCCAAAAACGGTGCCAAATTGGTCACGGCGGTCGCTTGTGCCAATGTCCCCAAGTTCACGGTTGTGGTGGGCTCGAGTGCGGGCGCTGGCAACTACGGAATGTGTGGCCGAGCGTATTCGCCGCGGTTCCTGTGGATGTGGCCCAACGCGAAGATCGGAGTCATGGGCCCCGATCAGTTGACGGCTGTCATGGAGACGGTCGGCAAATCCGTCGACCCGGAGCTGCGCGATCGCATTGAACGAGAAAGCGATGCGGCCTTCTCCTCGGCCAGGCTGTGGGATGACGGCGTCATTCCCCCGGCGCAAACTAGAAACATGCTTGGGATGGGCCTGAAGGCTGCGTTGGGCGGCATTTCGGACGACGCAAGCACCAAGTTCGGAGTCTTCAGGATGTAATACAACCGTCGGGCTCTGTCCTACACAATACTGCTTAGGCCATACATCATAGAGGACTGGTCTGGAGGACACAATATACAAGAATGGTTGACAAATCTATGAATAAACATTTTTTGATTGTCAGTTTGACGTGAGTCGCTAAGTCTAGTCCTGTTATTTTCCCTTGACTGGGGGCTCGTCTACCATCTGTCTAATACGACAAACGCCTGTTCGTTGTCAAAGTCCCCTTTTTTCTGACCATCGATGTAATCTCCTAACAGCCGGGGTTACAAAATCACGCAGCGATCCCGATTTCGAGTTCTTCTGCCTCGGCGATCTTGTCTGTTGGGCCGCTCCTGGCGTCGGTTGGCCGCTTGCTGCTCATAGGGTTGGGAGCGACTGGAGTCTTTCTGGATCATCTGGTGGCACAAGTTGAGAAAGACCTCGTCGACGTTTGTGCGGTGTCGCGCCGAGGTCTCATAATATGGCTTCTGGCCCCATTGCTGGGCGAGCTGAAAGGCTCGGGCGCGAGGGACAACGCGCTCGTCCTCCATGTCGGATTTGTTGCCAACCAGCACGAGGGGGATGTCTTCGTTGTCTTTGATGCGGATGATCTGCTCGCGCAGCTCGGCTAGTTCGTAGAAGGAATTCATGTTGCAGATGGAGAAGACAAGGAGAAATCCCTGGCCCTGTTTCATGTACAGCTCCCGCATAGCGGTGAATTGCTCCGTGCCGGCCGTGTCGAGACTGGCATGGTCAGCTCCAGATGAACCTCTTTTGAAAATGAAAGCATCAAAGTTAAGCCAAGTTGAAATGAGGGCGTCAACAGCGTCCTGCTAGAAGTGAAAGGAGAAGAGAGATCCTGGTAGCAGGAGGAATAACTCGGCTGCTTACATTTCCAGCATGATCTGACGACCGTCCACATTGACCTGTTTACGGTAGGAATCCTCGATTGTGGGATCATAGCTCTCGATCCAGACATTCTGAACGTATCGGGCTGTGAGACAGCTTTTCCCTACACCTCCTGTTGGAAAGGGAGCGATGAAGAGCAGGTTAGCCGGTACTCTTTCACCAAGGGCTGGGCTGGTGCACAGAAATGCACATTTCAATAGGAGGACACCAAGGGGAAGCCCCTAGTCAGTGCATAGTACACGTACCGGCACCGAGCACAACGATGTGGTATTCTCGCCTGTTCAAAATCCCAGGCGGGATGAATTAGCGGACGTTCTGACCGCCTCCTGAAACGAGAATTGCGCACGAGTCTCATCTAGACTGAACTTACCTAGGCTGCAAACTCATACTGGGATCGTCTCGGGTTGAGTCGCCGACAAATGCTTCCAGATGCGCCTGCAGTTGGGGCCGGAGCCACGAAACTCCAGTTTCCTTGTTGTGTTGAGGCAAAGGAACTTCTGGGCGACTACATTTCAGTCCTGCTGTGATAATGCCTTCTTCTCGGAACGTCGATCTGAACCTCGGTAGAGAGCCGCTGTGGTAGCCTTCCGAAGCTTCTGCCTCGAGACGTGGGCTGGTCTTGGGGCTCTCTCAACTTGCAATGTTACCGACTCCGAGATTCAAATGGGTCCAGACTCACGTCGACGGCTGTGCTAGGCCACACCAAAGGATGCGACTTGGACGAGAGAAAATCGGCGTTGTTCGCGTGTACGCAGGATGGCGGTTCGTGACGAGGTTGTAGTTTGTGGGAGCTGGACCGGTCAACTGGCCTTCTTGTTTTATATGGCGTGTCGTCTCGTCTCGTGTGCCCCTGCACCTTGAGTAGAGCTGAGGTGGATTTGGCTGGGCTGGGATGACAGGATGTTGACACAGATGGATGATTGATCGACTGACGGGTGGATGTGATTGTAAAAGTAGGGCGAGACAGCTTCAGCCAAGTAGTCCAGTGTCTCTGAAGCTCTGGCAGGATGAGGCAAAGCGATGCTGGCACACACTTCCGTGGATCCAGTCAACAGCGAAGACGTGGGATGCTCGAAATAGGTTGTAAGGTGATAATCAGGAGTTGTGGCGTTGATGTTGCTGCATCTCAATCAAGTCCACGCAGACTTAAGTCAAGCAGGATGTCCTCAGTACGGTCCTTTTTCGTTCGTTGGGCAATGATTCAGACGACGTCTACAAATGAAAGAAGTGCACCAGTAGACGGAGTAATATTTACAATAGAAGCTAAAGCCTGAGTCTTTGTCGTGGCCTCAGATTGGGCCTCGGTGAGGCATGTAGGTTCCCGATACTTTATTTCTTTTTTTTCCCTTGTCCTCATCGTTGTAGCGCGGTCTGTTTAGGGCCTGGCTTGTCAGAGGGGAGTCTAGTGTCGGGCAGAGCATGATTCTTTATCGATCCCCGATCGCTGGACGTGTTCTTCTAGGCTAGTTTGGACAATAGTGAGGCATCTTACTGAGTGTAGTAAGTGCAACAGGAGTTGGGCCAGGGACTGACAAGTAGCGACAGGGTAGTTAAGGTCTCGACCTGCTAGTGGGATTGGCAGCAGCAGTAGTACTGGTATAGCTGTCACAGTAGTGGTAAATTGAGGGACAATCACAGCGACGGGGATGACTGACATGCTTTCATTGAAAGCAGCAAGAAAGGTACGGAGTACTACTCCATAGATGATCATCCATTGATGTTGTATCCGTATGGAGCAGGAACGCCTCATCACCCATCTAGCGCCCATGAGCCACGCCTGGCCTCCGACGATGGCAATCAGTTGCAAGGGGAACATGGCGATCGCAGGAGCAGGCGCAGGCGCAGGCGCAGGCAAGCACAGGCATAGCAGCAACGGTGCTCGCCTACCAGGTAGGTACAGTACCTAGTCCCAAGTCCCTAGGCACGCAGTTGGTGGCAGCTGGTTGACATTGTTGTTAATCTGGTAGGTAGTATCAAGTTGAGATGCAAAAGTGGCGACCCCGGCCGGAACCACTCCCGCGGCCGCCGACTTAGGTGCTTGCTCCGCACTCGAGTGGGCTAAGGCGCTTAGGCTTAGGCCCCTAAGCCTTAGAACTCCCTGCCCAGGGGATCTTCGCAAGGCATGGTGTAGGCTTAATGGTACCTACCTATCTAGGCGGTAGGCGGTAGGCGGCAGGTACCTGGTATGGTACCTAAAGGTTATCCGTAAGGTACTGTAGCATTCAACTTGAGTACTACTACTAATTAGCCGTTCCGTCCACCTGGGTCCTCGGTACCTGCGCTCTGCATAGCACACCGACTTTCCTGGGTACATGTATGTACCTGGATTGTTCCTGGCTTCAATTTAATGCACACGCTGGTGCGTACTGACATAGATACCCACCATATAGGTAGGTACACAGCTACTTGTACCAACTTCAGCTGTCGCTACATTCTGCTTCGTCATCTTCTAACCCAACCTACCGTTCCGGCCCTCCTCAGACACTACCCGTTCGGCTGCTGCACTCCGAAATCCTCCTGCGAATCCCCAAACCGATCCCGGCCTTGTGCCATCCATGCCTCTCCATGAAAAGACGCAGGCTTAAGGAGTCACATTGCTGCCCAACCTGATGCCTACATACAACCAATTAGGGACAGTCGGTTTTTTCCTGCTAGCCCTATGAAATCTCCATCCTTTTCGTTCTCGACTTGAACAACCCAGGTGTTCGGGCAACTTTTTCCGATATCCTCCTCGTAAAGACCTTCGGATCTGGTAAATTCATGTTGCTGGATGGTGTACCAGTATGACGCTTCCGAAGCATCGAATACATACGCCGTTGACCGTCTCCTTATGGTCCACTGATCATCTTCGCCCCACCGGCTTCTGCTCCCCTCTGTCGGTGCCTGTGAGAAAGACAAAATACCCTGCTATCCTCTATTCACAAGTCTGCCATTCCTGAGTACTTCTTGGTAAGCATACGTATCTCTGGGCAATCATGTAGCCGTTGATCGCGACATTTCCCGAAGCGTGAGGTGAATGTCACACGGAAGAGCTGCTTTCTAACCTGCGAAAATGGTTATGCCTGGGATGTCCTAGCCTCGATACCTCCTTGTCGCTATTATCATATTACTAACTACCTAGGTAATGTCTTGCACTTCCAAGATGGATGTTAACGACCAGTGTGAACCTCTGAAGACTTCCAATTGTATCGGGAAGAATCATCCTCCGTTCCAGGAAAAGGGTTCCTTCGGCACGTCTGACCCATTCGGCAGTTAGGAAGTCATTTTCTATACGACCTACATATCCATCACGGCAATTTTCGACGGGATATAGTGGGAAGGCCGATGCCCCCTCTCTATCTCAGTACCGGTGGGAACCTGCTTTGACCCGATGAGCTGGGCAAAATGCGCGTCCGTCCTTAGTCGTATGCTAGATGATGCAACAGGGACGCCGGCAGTACACTCCCAATCCGAGATGAGGAGACGGATGAACGTCAAGAAACTATCCCGCCTCATGACTGACTTTAGTTCAAGCTCGGCGTTGCCTCCCGTACTTCCACAGCCTCAAGATACACAAGGTCTGTAATGATCAACACTCTGCCGCTCACTGGCTTCGGCAGATGGCATCGGTCGACAAGTAGCATCCTGAAGCATGCCATTTCTGTTACCGATAGCAAACTCTAGCTTGGATATCACATTTTTCTAGTCTAAGCTAGAGTTGCTGGAACTCCCAACATGATGTCACAAGCTTGACAAGAGGTTGATACACTGGCCCTGGTCGATGCCATGCTCTCGGGCAGTTGTGTCTGTGGATATCTTCAAACTGCTTTATTCTCAGTCTATCCCCGTTCTGTCCCAGTCATACTACGCCTTCCTTTAGTTCGTCACTCCTTGCATCGACCCGATTGTTCACAACCTGGTTCGATGGATTGGCCTGGCACACAAAGGAAAGCAACAGAACATGGACGTGGAATGGTAGATATGATCTATAGTAATGCGTGCGGGCATTCTGGGGAGAAACCACCCGGCTTGGTGGTGAGGTGGATGGACTTCTGCAGCAGCACGACCTGACCAAACAAGAGGTCTGTTGCCGAGCCCCCCAAATATCTAGTATTGACTCGTCTAGTATAAGCTCAGATGTTGCGTTGTCGACACGGACCGACGGCTCAAGCGTTCGGTTCCGTGGCCTCACCCTCTTCAAATTCCACCAACTCGACACCACTACGCACAACTTCACCCTCGCCATGCACGATTCTCTTCACGACCGAGCCCTCCGCAGGGCTGCGTATGACAGTCTCCATCTTCATGCTCTCGATGACCAGCAGCGGCTGGTCCTTGTGTACCGTGTCGCCCGGCTTGACAAGGACCCGCAGGATCTTCGCCGGCATGGGCGAGAACAGTGAGTTGGGCTTCTCGACAACACCGAGTGCCTTTGACAACCAGGCAGGCTGGGGAGCAACAAGACGAAACGAGCCTTGAGGAGTGAAGAGGTGGATGACGCCAGAATCTGATGAACTGAACACCACACGCGAGGTTTGACGGGTATGGGGGAAATAAGTGGTTATAGTATTAGTCGACGTGTTGAGCGACGATGACACCTGCAATGGGGCCGCTTGGGATGGCGTGGTCACTGCAAAATGGCCGGGGCTGGTCTGTTGCAACTCCACGCTGTAGACCTCTGGCGTTTTTCCCGGTCCAGGTTCAAAGTCGGCCGACTGAAATTGAAAAGTCCGAGGCTGAAAATCGGAGGAGGTCTTGAGCCAGGATGGAGATGACGTTTGCCATGCTGAGACTCCTGCGCCCGAGGCCTGTGTAGACGAATGCAGGAATGATGCTATGGCTGCCTCGGCGAGCGCTTCAGGTGTCACGGTCGTTTGTGGGAATAATTCATCACGATGCTTTTCGATGTAGCCTGTCTCGACTTGGCCAGCCACGAAGTCGGGGGATTTGCACACTCGTTTGAGGAAGTCGATGTTTGTCACTGGCCCGGCCACCTCGTAGTCTTGCAGTGCGGCCGCCATTTTGCGCAATGCGTCTTTCCTGTCCTCGCCTCGAACGATGAGCTTTGCGATCATAGGGTCGTAGTGGCTCGAAACTTGATCGCCTTCCACAAATCCGCTGTCAATGCGGACGTCAGCCGACTGCGTAGGGAGTCTGACATGTAGAAGCTCTCCGGAATCTGGGATGAAGCCTTTGTCTGGATTCTCGGCATAGATGCGAGCTTCAATGGCATGGCCCCGCAGCGCGATCTGCTCCTCGACCTGTTCCTGGGTCAACGGTAATGGGTGGCCTTCTGCTACCAGAATCTGCCAGTGGACAAGGTCCAACCCAGTCACCATTTCCGTGACGGGGTGCTCGACTTGGAGTCGGGTGTTCATCTCCATGAAGTAGAACTCTCCGGTATCGTTGTCAAAAATGAACTCAACCGTGCCCGCGCCTTCGTACTGGACGGCCAGAGCAGCGGCTCGGGCCTTTTCCCACAGGTCCTTCCGGATACTGTCGTCCAGGAACGGTGCTGGTGACTCCTCAAGGATCTTCTGATGTCTCCGCTGTATCGAGCAGTCCCGCTCCCCAAGGGCAACGCAATTTCCGTGCTGGTCGGCAAACACTTGAACCTCTATATGTCGCGGCGTGATGATGTATTTCTCCACGAGCACTTCATCGTTACCAAACGAGTTTCGTGCCTCGCTCTTTGCACTTTCAAGCATATCCTGAAAGTCCTTCGCGCTCTTTACAATCCGCATGCCTTTACCACCTCCACCGCGAACAGCCTTGATGAGGACTGGATAACCGATCTGCTCAGCCTCCTTCGCAAGACTTTCTGGCGCCTGGTCTGCGCCGTGGTACCCAGGTACGCATGGGACTCCGGCCGCGTTCATAATCTCTTTGCTTCTTGCCTTGTCGCCCATGTCTTCCATAGCACTAGGAGGAGGCCCAATAAAGGTGACTCCCTCTTCGGCGCATCTTCTTGCAAATTCCGCATTTTCCGACAGGAATCCATATCCTGGGTGGATGGCCTGACAGCCTTGCTGCTTCGCTATGGCCAGGATCTTCTCTTGGTCTAGATAAGCCGTGGTTGGGCCTAGGTTGAAGGAGAAGGGTGAGCAGTGGGCATGCTGTGAATGAGCATCCGGATTTGTGTAGAGGGTAGTGGTCCGTATTCCATGCTGGGCTGCAGTTCGATTGACGCGAATGGCAATCTCGCCTCGATTGGCGATCAGGATCGAGTCGAGGGACTTGGTTGGTTGAGATTTGGTATGATTGGCCCGACATTGGGCGTGGGAAGGGGACGAGCAGAGAACTGATCTCGCTCGCCAGACGCCAGCACGGGGCAGTCGGTAGTTTGGCATGATGGGACCAGCTCTGTGCGAGAATCACATTGGAAAGACGCCAGCGGCTGGCAGAGGCATCGAGTCTTATGTATCGCAGGAAGTTCCCCGGAATCGCGGTTGTCGTCGCATGTTGCCGGCAAGAGCAGGAATGCGGGGATTCCGAGCTGAGTGCTTCCCGGTCGGAGACTAAACGCGTTAGGTGGAGCGGCAGAAAACACATCTTCCTGCCCGACATAGTCACACGGGTACCACACCCGCTAACACACTCGTGAGCCTCGAGGGTACAACTTAAACATCGTCAAGGAATCTGTGTTGGAGCGCGAGATTGACCCAACTGACGTTTGTGCTTGTCGGTATCCGAACACAGGCAACTCGCTCCACCGCTGCCAACACCTCTCGACTCACTTCCCTCAATCCACCCTCCGCCCTCCTCTTTCTGCCGAGTCTTCATACCACTGAGAATGCGTTCATGATCCCGAACCCACAAGATGTCCGACTTCGAGGACTATGCATACTCACCTTACGATGACATTGAAGATATTCTGTACGACGCAGATCCGGCGCCAGAGTTAGCCGACGACCTCGCTGAGCACGCCGTCCACAGTCCCATCTACGAGGGTGAAATTGCCGGCTCCGAGCTTCAAGACTACTTCAGTGACTGGGAATACTATTCGGACGATTACATGGATGATGACCCCGTGTTGCTGAAACAAAATCCCCAAGCTGGAAGTCCCCTTAGTCGATCCTCCAGAAAGGAAAACGATAAGAATGGAAAGCCAAAGAGAGGGAAGAAGCGAAAACTGAACGAGACGCCAGGAAAATCCCTTGCGGATGCCCAAGATGTGGACTTGATAAGCCGCTGTATCAAGGGCACGGTTTGGGCGAAACCTGCCACAGTTGGACCCCCATGTTACAAGGAGGGCCAACAGCTCAAAGTGGCGCTGATGAAAAACTGGAGGGAAGTTTTCGCTATTACGGATAGCGGCTGGGGTCGAAGCCAGCGCGATATCAATGAGGACGAGTCCTGGGCAAAAGATATGAGTTTGGAAGATATGGGTTTAAAGAATGTCCAAGGACAGCCGTTTGAACAAAATGGAGAACACCAAGAGTCTGTATACGATGATAACGGCCAAGATGAAGAAGAGATTGCCGGGGGTGAGATTGAGGAAGACGCGTCGAACGAATCTCCTAGCACTGCTCTTCCAGTTGGCTCGGATGGAGTTAGTGACGACGAGCTTCCCCGAAAGCGACGTCGACTCAAACCGGACCACCCGTCGCTGTCCACCTTAAGCCCATCGACCCTGTTTGATACCAAGAACATCGACGCAAGCTCTACCGACAGAGCAAGTCTTTCTTCTCGGGAATCCGCCGACAAGCCGCCGGATCATGCCACCGCCAATGACAGCCATTCCAAACCAGAAAAGCCATCGGCCGTCAAGGAGTTGAGCTCCAACGATAGCAGGAAACGAAAGGCCCTAGAAGAAGTATACGTCGAGGAGGCAGGCCCTCTCAAATCCACCGCGAGCAGTCGAGCGAAGAGAGTGGCATCAACGAACTCCAAGAGCGCTTCAACAGCACCTACAAGCTCCAGGCGAACACGGAACGGTGGAAATTGATCTTTGCTGGTAGATCATGCTTCACTTCTGCAGGGCATATTGGGAGGATTGGGAGCAGCTGCACAGCTCCTTAAAGACTCACAAGTGCCCCTTTGATCACTGATGCTGGCATGGTACTCACGAGATGTTTGGATGTAACGATTAATGGTTGTATGTTCATAAGTGCAGCAACGTACTTTCGGAGGAAGCCACGAAACAGCCCCAGACTGATTCACACTACTTCTCATCGTGGGCCGGTACATAGGACATTGTCTCGGTTTAACCAGAGAGGCCAATTGCAACGTATCTCGAGGCCAATTCCTGAAGGGTTGAAGCGAGCTGCTTTCGAAATGAGGCCATACAGATGCAAAATCAACTGTCAGATGGTCGTCCTCGGAGACGCCTGGCAAGTAGTACTTGTTCGAGAGCTTGTAGTCTGCTGTTTATTCGTATAGCCGGGCGACAACGGGTCTGTGGCTCATAATGTAAGGTAGGTCCAGCAATTATAATGAACCCTCCTGTGCAGCTATTATTCTCAACCAGACTGTCCTTAACATGACTCGTCGCCCAAGCCCATGATTCTGATCAAAAAAGTGCGACCAGAAGGAGTGAAGGTGCTTCAGGCACGTGACCTGGACATATTTTCATGGCAGTGCAAGAGGATGGGCACAGAATAAATAGTATCTGTAAAAGATATTGTGAATTATTCTTCCGGGCAGCTTTGCAGGACTCGGGCGGGTATAACAGACATCAAAATGGCAACAGATGTCGTTCTTGAGACAACCATGGTATAGAATCTCCCTCCCGCGTCTCCTTTTCCTTGTACTCATCAGTCGTCTAGGGCGCCATCACGGTCGAGTTATACAATGATCATGCTCCAAGAACCTGCAAAAACTTCTCAACCCTGGCGCAACGAGGCTACTACGACAACGTCATTTTCCATCGCATCATCCCTAATTTCATGGTACAAACGGGCGATCCCACAGGAACAGGGCGAGGTGGTTCGAGCATCTATGGAGAAAAGTTTGCCGACGAGATCCATTCTTCGCTGAAACATACCGGCGCTGGAGTGTTGAGCATGGCAAATAGCGGGAAAGACACCAACGGCAGTCAATTCTTCATCACTTTGGCTCCCACTCCTTGGTTGGACGGAAAACACACGATATTTGGTCGCGTCAAGAGTGGGATGAAGGTCGTGCAGAGGATGGGTCTGGTCAAGACGAACAGCGAGGATCGACCTCTGGAGGAAGTCAAGATAATCCGAGCACAAGTCGTTGAGGGGACGGAACGAGAATGATGGCCACCTATCTGCGATCAGCATTCGGATATCATCCCAAGAGGACAAAGATGAAGTGTGCAGTACTGGCCTCCAAAGATATGCCCCTCGACACTCTGCATCCAACGGAGCTCTCAGACCGCCCTCCACTGCACCGACAATCTTACGGAGGAGAGCACTCCTTTGAAAAGCTCTATAACAGAAACTCGCAGCCACACGTCCGCTGGGTAGCTTCGTGACGGCCACAATCCCATTCAAGTCAAGAATCATGCGAATGATCAGTGCCAGGGATTTCTCGACAATGGCTCTTGCTGTGTCCTCTGCTGCTTTCACTGCCCATGTCCGAAACAATACTTTGTCAAACTAAGTCCAAGGCGCCAGTCGGACTCGCAAATACGCATCTGGACATTTGATGGACCAGGGCACAGTCCCTAGAGTGGATTCAGGACAAGCTCAAACGCGGTTCCCCGTCTTACCTCTACATATCAGAAGTGGGCAGATGTTATGGGGATGTGTACACGATGCCTTGCTGGCGGCCATCAGTGCAGACGTTTTGCAGAATGCATGTCCGAGGACTACCGCCGACTCAATATTGGTGGCTGATGTTCAGTCTGCATTCACACCCACTTCTCCTAGGCCAAGTTCCTCGATATCCGAAGGCTTGTTCCTCTGCGAGGCTAAGGTGGAGTATACAGAGCTCCAGGGCGCCTTGTTTTGAAGTGTCATTGGAGCGAGGTAGTGTGCAGGATCTAGCGACAAGCCATCCGTCACGACGCTTTCCAAGCGCTTATCAGTCGATTTTTGGCTCGTTTCCTGGCGACGCGTTGGCCTCATGTTGTTCCACTTCGGGGCCTTGTCTCTCTCGATCCTAATCCCGTTGACAGTACCTAACCTCACTCAGCCTCGTCCAGCCTTGAGGGTTTCATCTTATACCGAATCTTCCGTTAATGTTGTGTCCTGACTGCTGTCTTGCAGCACCCCGTGCGGCTCTGTTAAACCAAGCCTGATGTCGGCCATGTCTTCCCTAGTTCGAAATGCCCTGTTGGCATGAGAACTCTGCGCGACGATACTTTATCCTGTTCCAACTTCTGACCTACCATGCCTTAGCCGCTGTCAAGTATTGTGGAAATTGAGAAGAGCACGAATGCCATATGGCAATGGCCTTCTCCATCACATTCCGCCACATCGCAGCACATCGCATTAAGGGGATGTTTAGTTGATCAGCCTCCCCTTGCACCGACTTTCAACATCCACATCACACGGACTAGTGCTGGACTTCTCTCTATCCCTTGTTTTGTCTTGCGGAGGCTCGTGGACATGGCATCACAATAGATAATACCGAGACAAGGAGACCAATCTCCGCAGTATTCGTACTCCGAAGCCCTCGAAGATACAGGGTGTTCAAGAAGACGATCGAAAGCAAGTCAGATGCTTCTCACTGGGCTCTTCGTGAACTGTCTCCTGCTCTGATCGATCTCTTCTCAGAGCGTCTGATTTAGGTAGTCATCGGAACGAACATCTCGATGGTATCTATAGCGTCTCCTTCAAACGGTGGCGTGGCTTACTGTGTGCGTGAGATACATAGCATCGGTACTTCTTGCGCCGTCGTTCTTCCTCGCAGGCCCTATTTGAGAAACTTTGTATGGAGAGACGAGAGCATCTTCAGGCTCGAATCTATCCACGGTATAGACGCAGGAAACGACGGGGATCAAGTCTGGCGAGGAAGGAAGGTATAACAAGGCGATAGTTGGCCTGAGGCGACCGACATTAGAGTCACCTCCGGGAATGCCACTCTACCCGGGTCACCTTGTCGACGCGAAGCATAGATGAAAAGCATAGATAGGCACAGCTGCCGTGTTTGTCGCTCGGCTTCTTTTAGCTCAAGGTTGGCTGAGTGGTACACCGCTCCAGCACTGCGTGTAAGCAGACCTGCGCTTCCTGCTGACAACCAGCTCGATCCCTGATATAAGCACACGGTAGCATACGGAGGGTTCGGAGCGGATAGAACATTGAAGTGTGTTGTCCGAGGTCGCATCGATCGAGCAGCGTGCCGCGTTGAGAAGACGGATCATTCGGGAGCGCAACAGGGACGCGGAAGCGTCAGAGATTCTCGAAACCCTGGATGGGATTGATGGGTATCTGGGAGGTGGTTGGTGGGATGCAGGAGAGCTAGAGGTGCCGTTTGCAGGCCGTCACACTTGGGCGGTAACGACGGCGGCCTGCGATTTGCTCCAGGCGCAGGCGGTCGCAGGCAGTCGCCCTCCACCGCAGTTTTGCTCTGCTGCTCCATTTTGTGCAACACCAATCACTCCCTCGGACTCGTTTGTTTCCCATCCCGCTGCGGAAGATGGCGTCGCCGTCTGCATGATTCTCCCCTCCAGGGGCCCTCTAGGACGCGGTCCGCTCCAGGTTCCACTGCTCTCGCCTCCAGTCTTGCGCTGGGCCTGCCCGCAACCAATGCACGCGCTCGTCGAAGCGCTGACTCTCCTTCAGTTGCTGCAACTTGTGAGATGGAGGGCTCCCGGGGCCCGTCCTCGATATGCTGAGCCCATGGCCTTGTCACGAACGCTGCCCTCCGTTGGTAGCTTCTGGGGAATGGCCTCTATCCGTCGATATCACGGTGAGTAGCGAGGTATGCAATCCCTCCGCACGCGCGCATTTTGTTCATCACTATCTGTCGTGTGAGCAACTTGTCTCTCTCTCGCATCGTCCCCAGGTCTATATCCTACCATTCGGCCCCCTCCCTCCTCAACAACCAAGAGACGTCGTTTCTGCGATCCTACGTTTCCTACATTCGCTACCTTGACGTTCTGTCCTTTGAGAAAGCAGGCTTTCTCAACCCCAATCGGTCACAAAGACGGCTATCTTCTGCGGTGGCCATCGAGTGGTCACAGGATACGTGATCATCCTGCAACAAAAACCAATAACATCCAATAGACCCAGTCGAAGTGACAGCCGGCCTGGCCTCGACCAGAAACACGACCTTTCGCCGCACATCTCTTGAAGACTAGAAAGATCACCATCTTGCCCACTGTCCCATACACATTCACGGCTGCTGCTGGAAGCCGGTCGAGCTATCCAGCCTAACCCCGCGCACCACTATGCCCTCATCGTCGGCAGAGGCACTGGGTCGCTTGGCTGGGAGAGGTGAAGAAACATGGTCGGCAGTGGAACGGTCGGTGGAAGAATTCGTGAAGAGAGTCAACATTCCCATCAACAGCACCACGCCTCCAGCTCTTCAGGATGCGATCCAACATGATCCTTTCCACGCGGCGGGAAAGTATGGCCTCTTGTTTGTTTACGTGGGCATCATCCTGGTGGTCGCGACGACATTAATGCGCATGTACTACTATTGGGGCGACAAAATCCGGACTGCTCTCTACAAAGAAGAACTCATCAATTCCGCCTCCGCGTCAAGCCCGCCGGGATTGTCACCGCCACTTGGGTATCCAGGATACCATGGCTATATGGACAACGAGTTACCGAGCGCCATCAGCGCCATGACCGATGGATCGACCAGGCACTTTTTTCCATCCCAGGGCCCGTTGCCAACAGAGAAACCGAAGCAGCAAGCAGCTATGTCCGCAATCGCACCCCTTAACAACACCATCGCCTTCTTCAGATGGATCTTCTACCGGCCTGTGCCAGCTCTACGTATGGGCAAGTTCAAGTTCACGTTCCCATCTTTGGGGGTTCTGGCCATCATGGCCATCTGTCTGGCCGCCTCACTCCTCTACTGCTTCTTGCCGCGACCGCTCTTCTATGCATCGATGGCGTATGGGTCACCTCCCGTGGCGGTCCGAGCTGGTATGATGTCCGTCTCCCTGCTCCCATGGGTGGTCGTTTTGGCCACCAAAGCAAACCCGATTTCAATGCTGACAGGCATCGGTCACGAGCGACTGATTGTTCTTCATCGCTGGACGGCGTACCTTTGCACTGCTTTTGCCATCATCCATGCCGTTCCCTACTGGTATCAGTCTGTGTCCGATCCCGACGGCTATGCGACATTCAAGTTGTACTTCCACCAGCGATACTATGTCTTCACCACTGGGATTGCCGCCATCGCTCCCCTGATCTTCCTGACGCTGCATTCACTCCCTTTTCTGCGAGCCAAGATGTACGAATTGTTTGTCCTGCTCCACATTCCCGTCGCGTGGGCCTTCATTGGTCTGATGTTCTGGCATTGCCACAACTACTTGACCTCCTGGGCATATCTCTACTCAACCGTGGTCTTGATGGCTGTTTCTCTGTTTGCCCGTCTCTTCTTCCTGAACTGGATGAACCCTCTGCGATCGTCGTGGCTGATTGGAGAAGAATCAGCCGTGACCATTTTGCCCGAGAATGCCGTCAAAGTCACAATCCCTACCCAGAAAAGATGGCGGCCTGGCCAGTACGTCTATCTGAGGATGCCAGGTATCGGAGTGTTGGAGAACCACCCGTTCACCATTGCCTCGCTGTGCAGTCTCGACTTCCCTTCCGAATATGGCGAACAATACCGAGACATGACCCTGGTGTTCAGACCGTTCAGCGGGTTCACTCGCAAGGTGCTCGACACCTGCATCAAGAAAGGACCTTACAAGACCTACAGGGCTTTCGTCGAAGGTCCGTACGGAGGCATGCAACGGCAAATGGCCTCTTTTGATCAGGTCGTGTTCTTCGCTGGAGGCAGCGGCATCACAGCCATTGCCAGTCAGCTCCTGGACTTGATCAAGCGCATGCGTGATGGCAAGGCCACCACATCCAAGGTGCACGTCATCTGGGCCATGAAACGTCCGGATATCATGGAATGGTTCAAGGAAGAGCTTCGCATCTGCCGAGAATGCGCTCCACCGGGGTCGGTGCAATGTCACTTCTTCATCACCGCCGCCAGACGCCAGATCCCCGTACCCGGGCCGGACGTCAAAGAACACCGCCTTAGCGGAATCCGGGACAAGATCACCGACGCCATCCACCATGCCGGAGCCAGCAGCAAACGGAACTCTGCGCTGGCGGCGGAGCAAGAACCGGATCTCAAACGAGAATTCGAAGACAGCATCACCGCTCTACCACAGGCCTACCTCTCACCACCTCGGCATCCAGCGCCTCCTGGCGCAGATCTCCATCAGACTTACTATCCACCTCCTCCTGGTGCACAGGCCCATCAGGCTCACTATCCTCCGCCTCCACCCAGGGATCATCGCATGTCGACATTATCCCAAGCCCAGGTCGACGCCACCCGTGCCTTTGACTTCGGCTTCCCGCAGACCCCGACCAAATTTCAAAAGAACCTAATGCGTTTCGCATTTCTTCCTACAAACGTCACCTCAAATCGCCGGGATGGTTGGCATACGGAGTACGGGCGTCCTGACATTCCTTACATGCTGAAAGGCCTGAGTAAGGATTTTGGCAGGCGAACCTGCATCTATGTTTGCGGACCTCCCGAGATGAGGACCGATGTGGCGAACACTGTCGCCAGACTGCAGAGCGAGGTCTGGAGGGATCCGGGGAAGGACGAGATCTTTCTCCACGCCGAAAATTATGCCATATAAATTTGAAGCAAGGCCTCACACGGGCCAGGCAGCTAGCTGACATTGACCCTTGGCTGACAAGGCGTCGTCTTCAAACGTGAACCCTCCAAGCATGCGTTCGTCGGGGATGAGGGCGTCGGGATACGTGTGTTGCGTGCTGCAGACATCAAGGCTACTGATGCCATGTTTAATTTACGACGGGATGAGTACAGACGTATGGTGAGGAGCTGCGGTCTGCACAATTGTCCAGAGCTCTCAGAGCACTGATCAATTTTCCTTGGTTGTCTATGTTGTTGTTTGAGCGCTTATCTCGGCTCGGCTGGGACTATAGCTTTCTCTTTTTTCATTTTTCTCGATACCCTCTCGTGTTGTGTGTGAATGAGCATCGTTGTCGAGTCAACGTGGGGAGAAAAGAACGCCGGAGCTCCTGGAAATTGCGGAAAGTACGATTGGGAGCTTTGCAGCTGTGGCTCCAGCCATCGTAGCTCCATGTGTATAAAACAAAACAGAGAATGCAAGGAGCATCCTCATAACGAGAAAGAGCTCAACTATATCTAGACTATAGTTTATTGAAGCCTTCCATCCGTCTTTGGACGACCATTTGGCCCATGTCACGCGAGCCTCGATTGACGAGGTACTGTGTAACTAATCTGTTTCCATTTTCCAATTGCCATTTCCTGCCTCGAATAAATGATGCCTGGGGAGGCAGAAGTCAGGCCTGGTCCAGTGCACAGATATCCACGTAGCAAGAGAGGTCTCCGTCGGAGGTCTAAGAGGCAAGCGGCCTGGTCCTTTCTCGAATTCGAAACGCTCGCTACGACTTCAGGACCCCTGTTTGATGCAATTGCATCCTAGATACACAAGGAAGAAAGAGACCTGGTGTTCTCTGTCTGCTGTGGAGACTAACTGCTTAGTTTGTCCAGAAGGGAGGGGGAGGGAAGAGGACTGTGGTCCCCAGCGACACTTGACATTAGAAATTAGGGAATGGACATGAAGATCCATCCCGCGATTACAATTGCATCAATCAGGATTCTTGTGTATTCTGGTTCATTTCAACCGCAGCACTCCCATATCCCGAGGCGGCCGATGCTCTCACCGGCGTTACGAACTATACAAAGCCTCCGCTGTCTCTGGTTCTGCTGCTTGGCTTTGTCTGGGGCGAGGGTCCTCGAGCGTGCATCGCCTTCGGCACCCTTGCCGTCGGCCGTCCAGCCCTCGACCAGCCTCTGCGCCCATATAGCGCCGACAGCGGTGCCTCGTCCCTCGGACAGATTGTAGCCGCCCGACGTGACGAATCCAATCAGGTCGTCGACGTCCGGGCACGGAGGATGTCTTGTCCACTCGGTCTGCGGCCCCATGGGACCTGGAACCATGAGACCAGCAAGTTCGGCGGCGAGGTTCGGCGCGTCGGTGTCGGCCGGGTCGAGGTAGGGATTGCCCTTGCTCGCGTCGGGGTTGGCATCACCAGGGGGCTTGCCTAGGCCGGCTTTGTCCCTGCCTTTCCCTTTCGCCGTCCTTTGAGCTTTCTGGTTACGGGCTGGTGGTGGTCTCTCCTTGGGGATTTCTCCATCACCGCGCCCAAAGGCGCTGTCGGGTCCGAACTTGGCGACGATTTCGGGAGGCGCGTTCTTAGGAAGCACGTTGATCTTTGCGAGCGATTCGCGCGGGTACGCGTGCTGTTGACTTGGTACGCCGAACCGGTTGGTCTTTTGCTTTTTCAGACGGGTGCGGGCGTTGCCATTGGGTGGACAGTCTTGGTCGTAGGAAGGGTCCAATGCAAGCCAGCGCTCCCGCAGGCCGAGAGCAGATGTGCTCGACAGCGACGATTCGGTCGTGCTGGTTGCAGGGGGTTGCTGGGCCGCCGGTGGCGCGGAGGACCAAGCTTGCGGATGCGTTTGTGGTGTGGGTTCGGCATTTGTTTTGCTCGCTGGAGGTTCGGTTCCAGTGGCTGCTATGGATGTACGAGTCGAGGGAAGTCGGTATATCCGAGCTGCGGGATTCGGGCTTCCCTTATCCAGCAGCGTAATGCGGATGGTAATCAGGGCTGGAGTAGACGGGAACAGGGCAGCTGATGGATTCTTGAGGAGCAACCGAGCAACTGAGGGCGAAAGCTGGGTGTAGTGGACTTCAGCAGGGAGGGCCGGAGGTCCGGTTTCATCTTCGCTTTCCGGGCTGGAGGTGTTGCGTCGACGAGTTGCCTCTTCCGCGCCGGCTTCGATCTCAGCTTGGGCTCGAGATTGGACTGCTTTGCGTTGTCGCTGGGTAAGCAATGGCTTTGCTGTTTTCGCCGCAGGCAACTGGGTGGTAGTCGTGGCAGTGGGTCCGCTTTCTCTTGCCGCGACGTCTCTCTTGCTCTCGAACAGATATTCCCAGTCACAGGCCCAGCCTCTACCGACCTCACCGGACCTATCTAGACCTAGGTCAAGCTTCTCCCACGCAGTCCTATATTTGGGAGGTCTGCGCATCCATTGGTCAAACCTCTTCTCACTCTGGGTACGCTCCCATGCTTTCCCTGCATCAGTTCCGGGTACGTCCCCGGGGAACCAAGGGACTTTTTGCTCAAATGCCATTTGTTGTTTCTCGTGGAGTCCTCCAAACCGCGGCGTCCCTCCTGCTGAAAGGGGGTAGTACATCAACGAACGCCAAACCGGATCCACACAAGACCAAGGTAGAAGGACAGTCCACGATCCTTGGAGGCTACCGCATTTGGTCGCCGACACGTCTTCAATTCTCGAAGCTAGAAGAATCACGGGTATAGGTGGATCTTTTGCTGATGGTGCTGGTGCGTGACCGGGCGGAGCAAGTGCCCTGCGACGATTGATAGCTTTCTGTGACGGTAACGACTTGCTCACTGTCCAACGTTCTCTGTGTGACGTCAATTTGGAGCAAGACAGCTCCTTGTCGGGCGGCCAGGAAACCAAGATCTCGTTCAACTGAGTTGCGTCGGTATCTCTCGGCAGCGTGATCCGCTTGGGCGGATAACTGAGTCGAGGATCGACCATATCAAAAGACAGTATGGCATTCTGCGGTAGTGTTCCAGGATTGTTGAGCCCCGCCAGAGAGGTCCACAGAGTTGCCATGGTATCTTCCGCCTCGCCAACTCTGTGGAAAGGCCGCAGTACGCCCAGTAACGACTCGGTCGATCCAGGGCCTTGGATCTCCAGGCTCCCGATCTCGAAGCGAAGATCTTCCACCAGTACTTGTGGTTTCTGCATTTTCGCGACCTTCAACAGCTCCTGCCAGAACTGGTGGAAGGCCGAGGGATGAATCCGGATCAAGAGTCGGTGCTCGAGTCTTGCCTTGCCCTCATTTTTGATCCGAGGCGTTGGAGCTTGGGCCTGATCATTCGTATCAACCTCCATTTCTTCAGCAAACTTGGAGGGCTCAGCCATCGTCCCTTTCCCCTGAGGCTGAATACACCATAGGACTGTGGCCGGAGCAATCGGCCTGTTCTCGCCGTCTCGCTCACAGACAAAGCCCTCTGCAAACCTGGTCCCTGACTTCCATTTTCTCTGCAGGGTGGGGGTGAGGCCGTTGGGACGGAAACCCAGAGAGTTCAGCAGGCTATCCAGCGCGTGCTCGGTTCCCCAACATGCCACCGTGGACATGTAGCTAGTGTCCCAGGCTATGCAACCGCGACTTCCTGCGGCGCGGTGACTCGGTCTGTAGCTCTTCTCGGTAGGCCTCCACGGGATCGCCAGCCTCCACAACGGTTCCGTGGGACCGGTCATATGTGCCCGTTTCGTGTGCCATAGATGGGTGGGTAGCCATGTCTTGTTGACCTGTCTCTTTTTATATTTCGTCGTAGCTTTCGGGGGCTCGGCCAGTGTATTCTTCTTCAAGCGCGGCACACGTGCCGTGGAGACGTGGTTTTCAGGGTCCGTCTGCTTTGCGTTCAGCTTGGCTTCCCTTTTCCTCCGACGCACTGTTTGGGTCTTTTGATTCATCTTACGGACCGCCTTTGCGGTCTCGAGGCGTAGTCTCAGTTTCCGGGAGGGTGTACGCGTCCGTTTGGGAGTGTTGTCGACTCTCATCTACACCCATGCTGGTCAGCCCTGTCAGCACACGGCGACAACTTCTCCCCAGAAAATCAATAAGCTCACCTCGTGCTCTGCCCTACGTCGCAGCCGCCGGGGCACCTTTTTGGCATTGTGACTGGCAGACCTCCTTCGCATGTGACTCGGAACTTGTTGGAAGGCTCTGACCGTCAAGGCCGTCCTCGCCCTCTGCATGCTCCTCTCCAGTGCACCAATTTCAAACTCCCGGGCCTTGATGAATGAGGCGACATTGAGTTCGCCGTTGGACGAGAGCGCCGCCGCAGCTGACTGGACAGAAACATTGCGAGCCTCTTGCACCTTCTGTCGTTTGCGTGCGCTAGAAGATTGTCCAGGTCTGTCAAAAGTCACCTTGCGCTTTTGACCCGCCGCCTCAGTTGAAGGGCCCATGCTGCGACGGCAGACCTGACTTTGTGTTTTCCTGCGGCGGACGCGTGTTGAAGTGAGTGGGATTTGGCCCGCCGACACGAATTTATATTGATGTCATTTCTTGGCGAATCAAGACCAGACTGATTCGAAAGATGCTCCGAGCTCCGCGCGACTCAAAAAAATGCCAAAAAAATTCCAAAAATGAAGAATGAAAGGGCGCAATCCAGGGATCGAACCTGGGACCTCTCGCACTTATTTGGATGCGAATCCAGATGGATTTGACCCTAAGCGAGAATCATACCGCTAGACCAATTGCGCTGAACATGCTTGACAGCTCGTATCGCCTTTGGAGGTGATTTGTGTTCAAAAGTTAGACCTTTTAATATATAACAACATTGTAGAGTTCGACCTCCCCTTTATCGATAAGCTGGCCGTGCACACGGGTCTAAAGGCAAATAATAAGTTTCGAAAGGAGCAAGATATAATCTCCATATTAAGTTAGCCCAATAGAGGTACTCCAAAGCGGCACGAACTCTTTGACTGCAACATCCTTCGTACCGCGATATTCGAGCTTTGACGGCGAGTGCTGCACATTGTCTCACAGTCTGTTCGGAGGGAGTCTTCCATGTTTGCACGGTGCTCGGCTGGGGCATCGCGCAACTCGAAGTATGCCTCAAAACGGCTTCCCTTGAGACGCTGCACGCGGTCCAATTCCTCTACCTCTGCCGGCACACCAAAGTCTCCGCCGCATACACAAGATCGTTCAAGGTCGAAGTATGCCCCACGTCGGCTCGTCATCGCAATCTTTTCTGGCGCAGGTCTCATAGCAGGCTGGCAGCTGTATAATATATATGGCAAAGACAGCTCCTTCGCCGCATATTCGCTGCTCTCCAAAGAACGAGTGTCGTCGACTGCCAGCATATTCCACCTGAAGCCGGAAGGAGGTGCCCAAGATTTTGAGCGGTACACAGACGCCCGGAAGAGGGGTATCTGGAATGTCCATTTCAAACAACCGCAACTGCAGATCGTCCGAGCCTACACTCCTCTGCCGCCACTGGACTCGGTGGGCGGTGAAAAACAGCGAGAATTGCGGTTCTTGATCAGGAACGACCCGCATGGCGAAGTTTCAGGTTACCTACACAGACTGCCCATCGGAGCCGAGGTCGAGATGAGGGGCCCCAACGTCGAGTACGAGTTCAACCCGGACGTCCGACAGATCGTTTTTCTTGCTGGGGGAACGGGGATCGCTCCGGCTCTACAGGCCGCGTATGCTCTGTTTGAAGGAAACAAAGCGATAGATGGAGACCAGACGAACAAGGACAAAAAGCTGCATATTTTGTGGGCCAGCAGGATGCGGGAAGACTGCTTAGGCGGTGTCAGTGATGCTCCTCCTGCCGAGACTGTTCCTCCGAAGCCGACGTGGTCTGGATTCTTCTCGACACCCAAAGCAAAACCTCCACCTCCAGTCTCCCAAGAACAGGGCCTCCTGGTCAAAGAGTTGGAGGCTCTGAAGAAAAAATATCCCGGCCAGGTCACTGTTGAATACTTTGTGAACGCCGAGGATACTTGGATTGACGAAGACGCCGTCCTTCGAGCGCTGTCGCGATTCGACGGCAAGGACTTCACAACCGGGATGACCACGCCACAAGAGCAGCGCCAAATTCTCATCTCTGGGCCTCCAGGGTTCATCTCCTATCTCGCAGGTCCGAAAGAATGGAGGAATGGACGAGAGGAGCAGGGCAGCGTCAGCAAAATCGTCGCCCATGCCATCTCGAAAAACCCGCACAATGTCAAGGTCTGGAAAATATAACGCCAAGGTTTTAGTTGGTCTCGCTCTTCGTGTCTACTCGTATCGTCGTAGCACTGGCCGCCCTGCTTGACGCCAACGGCCAGCGTTCTGAATCACTAGACTTGACCTCTTCCTGCAGACATGCGGGGAGATATCATTGTAGCAAAAACAGAATGTACCTCATACTAGTATTGTGCAACGTCTCTAGCCTCTGTGCTCATTCATCTATCTTGTATGAGTGTCTCAATGGCAGACGTCTCGGAGACGAGCGGCGGAAGTTCTCGATGTGACTCTGTCTGCACTGCATCTGTACGCGCGCCGACCTGGAGGTTCTGTTTCTCAACTCTATCCATGTCTTGTGCAGCCACACTCGTCAGCTCCGTCGCTGCTGCTTGCTACTGCTACCTCACAGCTTTGAGCCCTGCTGCGCGTTGCTCTCTCTCTTGGCCAGCTCCCTCAAGTCCTTCCTCAGAATCTTGCCGGCCGGAGACTTGGGAATGGCGGGGAGGAAGACGACGCCGCCACGGAGCTGCTTGTGCGGGGCGAGATTCTGCTTGACGTAGTCTTTGATTCGGTCGGCGGAGATCTTGGAGTGGTCGGCCACGATGTAGGCACGGGGCAGCTCGTTGCCGGAGCCAGAAGGATCGGGCACGCCGATGACGGCGGCGTCGAGAATCAGGTCGTGCGAAAGCAGGGTGGCCTCGAGCTCGGCGGGCGCCACTTGCATGCCTTTGTATTTGATGAGTTCCTGCACGGTCACGATCACGATCGAGGTCAGCTGACGGTGCGATGCGGTGCGGTGCAGTGCAGTGGTCAGCTACAGGACTTGGGGCCAAGGTCACTCATGCATGAAGTACCTAGCTAGGTGCCTAGGTCCCCAGGGGTATGGTATGACCAGCAGTGATGCAAGAACATACCTTCTTCCGATCAACGACGTAGAACATGCCGTCCCGAACCACACCGACATCGCCGGTCTTGAACCACAGGCCGTCGCGGGTGAAACTGTCACGAGTGGCCTGCTGGTTGTCCCAATAGCCCTTTGCTACCATGGGGCCCTGCATGACGAACTCGCCCTCGCAGCCTTCGTCGACATCGAGCTCGTCGTCGTCGACGATACGCATCCGCGTGTTCGGCAGCAGCGGCGACACCGACCCGGTCTTGTCATGGCGGTCCCACGGCATCGCCGTCACGCTGCCCGTAGTTTCGCTCAGACCCCACGTCTGGCTGATGCTGCAGCCCAGCTTCCGTTCGGCGAGCGCCATCAGTTCGGCGCCCATGGGCGCCGCGCCCGAGATGGCGTGCACCAAGGTGCGGAACTGGTCCTTCACCAGCGGGCTCTTCGCGATCAGCAGGTAGATGGGCGGGACGGTGAAGAAGGTGGTGATCCGGAACGTTCGGTTGTACTCGAGGAACTTGGCAAAGTCGAACTTCGCCATCCAATACACCGTCCCGCCCGCGAGCGCTGGGTTCACCAGATATCCCTGACACCCGGCAATATGTGCGGCGGGCAGGTGGCCAAGGGTTCGGTATTCGAACTCGTACGAGGCGTCCCGGCGGCGTTGGCGGTCAAGGAACTCGCGCACCAGGTATTGCGGGATGAGACCCTCGGACACGAGATTCTGGTGCGACAGCTTGACTCCTGCTCAATCAAGCCGGCCCGGTCAGCGACAACTTGCAAGAGAATCGGTGTGTCTGTCTAGCCCAGGGACGGCATGGACCTGTTGTGACAAACACACCTTTGGGCGCGCCGGTCGTGCCGCTGCTGTACAGGAGGCAGATGACTCGGTTTTCCAACACCTCCTTGGCCGTGATCACCTCCCAGTCCAACCTTTCTTTGGGCTGGCCCTCGCCTTCGATCAGGTTCCTTCCGTTGCCGAGGACACTCGCCAACCTCCTGTTGCCGCCCATGCTGTCCAGCACCAGAACTCGGTCCAGCGGGATACCGCACTCGTGTGCCGCCTTGACCGCAACATCCGTACAGTCCGGACTGGCAACGATCAATCGACTTCGACCCTGCTTGATCTGCCTCGCCAATTCGAGGTAGGTGAAGCTCGAGCTGGCCGCCGAGTAGACGCCTCCTGCTGCAATGACACCGTAGAAAATGCTGGACAGGAGAATCTGGCCGGACGAGATGGAAACGACCACGTCTTTGCCCGGCCCATCGGCGCCGATGCCGTACGAGTGCCTGAAGTGATGGGCAATCCTCTTAGTGTAGTCCCGCGCCTGGGCTTTGGTGACAAAGTTGGACGGCAAGGCGGCTTCGGCATGTGCGATTGTCGAGTCATTGCTCCACGCCTCTGGAGACTCTGCGCAGGGATCTCAGACATCAGACGCGCTGCTCTCTCAATGGATGACCAAAACATTCGTTCGCTGCTCACCGTAGACCAACGTCAGCAAGTCGATGTTGGGAAGTTCATAGTCCTTCGCAGGAAGGTAGACCGTCTTTCGCGGCATGGTGGCATCCAGCTATTGAAGCATCCCAACGGGGGTTCCAAGGGTCAGGAAGTCGCGGGCTGAGGCCACTTGAGTGGCAGAGCTGGACGCATGCTTGGGCCTGCGATCCCGACTTGGCCATTGCAGGCACCTACAGGTACCGCTGAAGAGGAGAAGTGCAAGACCCAACCGAAATGCGGCCTGCTACCGAGGCGAATCAACGAAGCACCTCGAAGGAATACACCGATCAGCAGCATATCTCCTCACCTCCTCTATTGAGCTTTGCCTCGGTTGAGATGTGAGATCGCTGATGGGGTAAGGGGTGGCTTATGTCAGCACGTCAGGGGCTAAGGGGCCGGCACAGAGCTGTGCACGCTGTAGAAGTATCCGTATTGTGCATCGTCGCAGGAGGCTTAGGGGCTATTAATTATCCATGTATTGGTATTCATCGCTCGCTATTTTCATTCCGATCGTCTGTCCACTTTCTGCTCGGAGAGGTCACCCTCCCATCTAGAATACCCAACCGACTCAAGGTCGCTCAATCCAACTCCCGCTCCCGCTGCTAGTGTAATGGACAAATCCAAAGCAAAGGGTCACAGAAAAGCAGATACCACAGGGGAAAGGAGGAGTGACTTACCGTCGGGGAGTGGTGGGCGTCTTCACACCATTCGCCCGACCTCTATGATCACTTTCCCCGTTGGCGTCGTTGTCTCCGTCTCCGTCTCCGTCTCCAATCATGCGCTGCATGAAGGAAATATAATCATATTTGGGTACGTCTCGGTCCACCTCGAGATCGGGTCCCTTGTGTTCCGGCATGCTGTTGAGCAAATCTTCAATCAGCTCGTCGGGGATCAGAGAATGCCTCAGATCCATTTCGGTGACATATGGCTTTCCGTCAGCCACCTCCCGGAAGGATTGGAACACCTGTTCGGCGCTATTTTGGTCTTCGGTGACGGATACCATGAAACGGATGAATTGTTCAAAGCCCACTCCGCGGTTCTCCCTCTGGCGCCGCGATACAGGTGACATGGAGGGATCAATCCCACTATGACAGACCTCCACATACTTTTCGTGCATCTCTTCTTCATCGTACACCAACCCGAGACTAGCCAATGCGGCACTAAACTCCAACTCGTGAAGGGTGTTGGTCCCGTCACGGTCGAAATGTCGAAAGACTGACTCAAATTCTTCGAGCTGGATGGGGGTGAGGTTGGTCATGCTCCTCGCCACCATCTGGTTCTCGAGGAACGTCAACTTTTTCTGCACGCTGGTCCTCACCAAGCTCAGCTCATATAGCAACTCATCGTAAGTGTAGGTGGTGAAGTCGTTCTCGTCGATATTCGCCTCCTGGCACTTCTCGTCGAGGATAGCTATTCCTTCCAGATATTGCTCGAGAGGTGCCAAGTTGGCCGACAGTCTCTGCGCATGTTGAAGCTGATCTTCCACGTCGCCTTCCAATCCCGACACAGCCAAGGAAAGCGTATTGAGAGTCAGGGCAAAGTCGTTGGCTTTGTCGGCAAAACTTCGTCTCAGCGCATTCTTGATGTCGCGGATGGTCTCGTTGATCAATTTGCTTCGCGCGTGCTCGTCGGTGCCCAATGCTGCCCATTCATGATCCAGCACCTCAAGTCGAAGGTCCGCGGGCGGTTCATATGGTCTCAAACGGTAGGTAGACAGTTTGGTTTTGATGTTACCTAGGAGCGCCGCGAGATCTGATTTCTCTGCCACCCACTTCCTCTTCTGATTTCTTTTGAAACTGGAAATTTCATTGGCCTGAGCCTTTGCATCGGCGTAGGTCCCTTCGAACCTGGAGTTATGCCATAGCTGTCGTTGCTGTCTGATTTGCTGCAGCAGGGCCCGCATCCGCTTCTCATATGCCGACTCCATCTCCCACGCACCTTGCATGTTACTGACGAACTTTTCCACCCGCCGCCCGGCGTTTTCCACTTTCTCCATGGCGCTAAATGCGTGGAACCAGTAGGCGATATATGTCATCAGCGACCTTTCGTCCGGTCTGGGGATGTCGGCCACATCTTCGACATCAAGCAGATCCGGGATCCCAATCTCTTTGCTAGCAATATCGAACGCCAGTTTCATATTCCCTTTGTGATCTGATTTATCCAAAGTGTCGAAATCAATGAGATCAGGCCGGTGGATATCGAGGAGGGCACAGAAGGCCAGGCCGTCATTCCAAGAAGTGGAAAAATCTCGAACCTCGACACCTTCATAGCAGGCGGTCTTTCGCTGGCACCACAGAAGCAAACCCTCCTTGGCCGTCATGCCCTCTTCATTAATATCCGAGATGGTGAACCGGAGAATGAGAGTCCATATCAGACCAAGGATGATTTTTCTGTTCCCATCGACGACATCTTCGGCACCAATATTGGTCATCTGAATACCCCGGCTTTTGATAAATTCCAATGACTTGTTGACATTCTCGAACCGCTGCACCCGCAGCCTGGGATTCGAGGCATATCGCCCAAGCGATTCATTGCTGAGGACTTCGAGGAGGTGGATGAGAATAATCCCATCCGAGAGATCAGTCACAAGGGACTTGACGGAGACATCGCGAGGCGCTATCTTATTGTTCAACCTGCAGGTCGTCAGAAGGGGCGCGAGAGCAGAAGGGGCAATCAGGGGGTGGGCTACCACTTAGTAAACGTCTTCTCTTGAACATTCACCCATTGCTTCTCCAACAGTACCATGGCTGCATGTCAGACAGGACCGTGGGGTGATGCTTATCGCTAGGATCGTATGCGGTAAACAATACTTTGGATACCGAATAGACCAGGTGCCGGATACAAGAGGGATGTGCAAGAGAGTCCCAACCCAGGCTAGCAAATGACAGGTGCAGGAGGATAGAGGTCCGAGTGTCACCCTAACACGATTGATGATGGAGTTGAGGGAGTGTCCGTGAGATATCAATAACTAGCTGAGGTCTTGAGGGGGGGATGTGGATGGCGGCCCTGAGATCGGGGGCAACAAGTGAGCGGCAGCGCGTTCGGCAAACCTGCCGAAGACGAAGTAGCTAGCAGGGTGACAACCAATGATATAGCCCGGGGAATTATGTCAACACACTAGACTCCCTGCCCGTCGTCGGCGGAGGAACCGAGCCCTCCGCCAATCGTGTCGGCCGTTGACGCCGAGGCTGTGGGCAGCTGTGATTGGTCGGCTCACCACGTCGTCTGAATTGATTCCATCAAATCCCATCAATCTCCAAGCATGATCAGGCCAGCTTCCGTTGGTGCATCCGTTGGTGATGCACCTTGGTTGTCTAGAGCAAGAGCCTGTGTCGCTGCTCTTTGGGAGGAGCATGCTGGTAGATCATGGGGGCAGTTCATGACGGGGAGCTTCAACCTCCACCCGACTGCCACTGCCACTGTGTCCATGAAGCCATGGTTTAGGTTAGTCCTGCAACAAACAATACCTGCATGTCCAGCGTTGGTTGTCTATGGCAGATTTGAAGGGGATGCTTATTGCCATGTCTCTGTCCTTTTGTCTCAATGTGCCATGTGCCACGTGCCTGCACGCAGGTCCTGAGAGACTTGACACAACTTGATCTCTTCTGAGAGATCTTGCTGGACAACTTCAATTGCCAGCTCATCCAAGGTATCTGGCCATTGTTTTGGCACATACACTAGATCGGCATAGATGGAAGTACCCTTTCTTATACATTATAGGAGAGACACACCAAGGACGCAGAGCACGACTAGCAGACAGCCAAACGAGTAGTGGGTGCTCAACTCGATGGGAATGCTGGCAGACATGCAGAAGCAATATACCAAGACAGTGCCCCTGCCACATGAGTTTGGAAAGCCAGAAGATGTCCTACCCTGTCCATACATCAGCACTCACACTGGGATTCTCCTCTGTCTGCCTCTTTCTCTGTTCTTGCATTGTGACTTGTCTGGATGTCGATCATCAGGCGAAATTGGAGCAATCATGAGCCATAGTTACTCACGTCTTTGACCCTTGCTGTTTGGCTTGGGCCGATGCGATAAGCAGTCACTCTACAGCCTTGCACCGCCTTGTCAGAATATTTCACACCAGCACCTATTTTGCACACTTCCACAAGACACACAAGTCTCCTAGGTCTTCATATCCTTCATCGATGCCGCTTTAAGATGTCCCATGTCCGAGCCGCTATCCTTTGCTTGTCTTGGCGGCCTCAGGGCTTTTCTTCAAGTTCACTGCACCAGAGGGTTGAGTGCCTTACCGTTGGCACCTATTCTGCCTCCACTGGTCACAGATCTTGACCGAAACCTATCACTCCTAGTGCTTCTCTTCTCATCCCATATTTGGGGAAGAGATCAGGCAGAGACATTGTCCTCGTTCGTCAATCCCAGACTACTTCTCTGCTAAACATCACCAACCCCAAGTATCTCCGTCCTGCCACGGTATCGGACATTGAACCCGTCGGTACTTCTCTAACGACAAAATCAGTCGATCTAAGCAGTCGAGAGGAGGAACAAGATGACGGCATGTCTCCCATTGTTTCGCCACGAGTGTTCCATGTCGACTGACACAGTCTACAGATCAAATATATTTTGTTCGACTGTGGTAACACTCTCGTTCAATCCGAGGACCTTGCCTTTGAGGCTACCGCCAGTGTCGTCAACGAGTTCCTGTCCACGAGCAACGTTTCTTTCCGTTATAACCCTGAAGATCTCAAGATCCTGTTCCCGGACTGGACCTTCCGTGGGATGGTGTATCGCCTGCAGAGGGAGCTTGGCTTCACACTGTCGAGGAGCGAGCTAGTACGCTTGACCGAGCTGGAAGAAGAGCGGGTTATCGCTAAATTGGAAGAAAAGGCAGAGCCATGTGCTGGAGCTATGCAGGTCCTGGCCACACTCCACGAGGAGAACAAGTACAAACTGGCGGTCACCTCCACCTCTTCTTCACTCCGCCGTATCCAGGCCTCTCTTTCAGCCTCTGATCTGGACCAATTCTTCGACCCTGGCGAGGTGTACTCCGGATTGACTATCTCGTCCAAGCCAGTGAGCAAGCCTGATTCTCCCATCTACCACCATCTCCTGGAAAAGTACGGCGTAAAACCCCATGAATGCATGGCCATCCAGGACACCGCTGCCGGTGCTGACGCTGCGGTTCGGGCAAGAATCCCTGTCATGGGCTATGTTGGCGCCTGTCATTCCAGCGAGGAGAAGCATGAGACTATCTCACGGCTCGCTGTGGCAGGTTGCAAGAGCATTATGTGGCATTGGGATGATTTCGACAAGGAATTCGAACTGCTCAAAGAACAAATCAAGAAGTGAACGACCGCAAGCATTGAGTGCACATTCTGGCCTTCTGTTGTCAAACAGACTGTGTGTTGCACTGGTCGAAAGCAAACATGGGTCAAGGCTAGGGGCAAGGCTCTGGCAAAAAATGTGGACTTCATCAAGGCAGGTGAACAATGACGAGCTGGCGATGGACAATAGCTGCCTGCTTTCTTTGCTGCATGGGCCAGAGATGTAAAACAGGATAGACAGCAAAGTTGCTGCAGGACATTGATTGCTTCTTCCCTGCTCAATCAAGCAATCACTTCTAAGTCAAGCTATCTCGTGTCCGTCTCCTGCATTTGCAATTCTGCTCTGAGCATAGTGTATGTCCTCTGCTGGATTTGGCACTGCCATTCTCTGTCACGCGTGCTGGTCGTCACTGCTTTGTTTGGGGTGCCTGCCCTGACTGCGCGAGATTTCATCTGTAACTTCACTCCAGGTCGATCACCCGATCTACACGATCTACACGCCGCACCCTGTGTTCTCACCCTGTGTTCTCGTATGGTTTCGTCCAGTTTTCCTCAGATTACACTTTGCTGCTCTGTTATTCAAAGTCGGATTGACGAGTGAATCGTCTCCAATCTACGTGGCGCTGGATCATTCTCATTCTCAGTGCCAGCAGCATCCAACCACTCTCTAGATGCCCACCATGAAAGACTCTGCTCCTCATCGAACTAGAAAAACACAAGGCCATGGCATCAGGCAACCCAGTCCACCACCATATGCCACACCAAACCAATCCCAAATCACACAAGATGAATACCCACCGGACATCAGAATGCCGATCCCCATGCATATCCAACCAGCGAGCATACTCAGGTCACAAACTCCCTTCACGGCCCAGGACTCTCTATGCGAGCATGACCACAACATTCGAGCCACAACGCCTCGTCTGTGCAATGAAAGCAACTCGCCGCCTGCATTTTCCTTCGGTTCTACCGTCACCCTGGATCCAGCAGACCTCGCTGCCACCCCAGATCCGGTTGCTGTCGCGGAAATCAAGAGAGCCTTCCCACCATACTTCCCCATGTGCCACAGCGACTTGTGGGCGATGATTGTGGCTCCTTCCACCGGGGTGATGGAGCCAGCCATAATCGACCAAGAGTATCAGGCCCAAGTTGAGGAGGAATTACTGGAGAGGTATCGTGGTGAATTCTATGAGCAGAACGACAACGAGACAGGATCAGAGTTTGACTGGGCTCCAATCAAAGCGGAATTCGAGAAAATGTCTGGGGATGCCTTTGATTTGAAACTGGGTGATGAAATGAGAGCTGGGTTTGATTGGTCTCCAATCAAAGAGCAATTCGAGAATGTGTCTGAGGCTGTCTCTGATTTGAAGATGGAAGATGAAACGGGGGCCGAGTTTGACGAATTCTTCAAGAGACTGGAGGAGAGTGGGTTGTGACAGTAGCAAGTGCAACGAAGTGCGTAAAAGGGGGAGAAGGATGTCTTCGAATCGCGCCACATGCCGACTCTATGAAACAAATTGTCTTGCAGCGAATGGAATGATGTCTGTTCTTACATATTGTGTGGATATAGTTCAGCTCCGCCAGTCCCTTCCACTCTAGATCCAAGGCTCGAAACTGAGATGCTGTCTGGCTGTCTCGAAAGCAAGATCGACCAGGATGAGATAGAGGTTGATCTCGGTGGCATGTCACCCATTCGTCGTAGCCTCAGCTTCGTCTGCCTCTAGGGATGAGTCATCAGAGTCACCGGCTTCTTCAAGTGCATTCAGCCATGTCGGAGTCATGTAGATGTCTAAGACTGAATATGAACGTGAATGTCAGAACCAGGATGGTCTGTGCACAGCACACCGGGTCTAGGCGTGCCTGGGTGACAGACAGGACAGCTGGCGCAGAGGTCGAAGAACTATTTAATTAGTGTTCATATCCATATCCATGTCCATTTTACCTTCCTCCTTTTCTTGCTCTATTTTTATACACTGTTGGAGAGGGAAAGGGGGATGGAGAGGGAACATGGTCACTGTCATCCTCTGTTTCTTGTCCACTGTTGGAGAGTGAGAGTGGACATGGTCAGTGTCATCCTCTGTTTCTTATCCACTGTTGGAGAGGGAGAGGGAACATGGTCACTGTCTTCCTCTATTTCTTTTCTCTGGCTGAGAAAGGAACAGCCATCACTGCTCTCTGCTTGGGTGTTTGGAGGCGGCATGGTCTTCTCCCGGAAGGGCGATATCATGTTGGGCATATATGCCGCCTCGGACGACCTGCTTTCTCCTTCTCTCCCTCTCTCTCTCCATCCATTACCTGGTCTCGCGGATGGCCATGTCGTACTCTTCATCTACAGAAAAATAGCATGAACACATGATCTGCCCTTTGGCAGAGTGTTTCTGGTCATCTTCTTGGTGGGTAGGGGATAGAGTCATCTCCCCTCCAAGAGGAGAATGTGTGCCCGACCTGTCGGACACCATCCAGCAGAGATGGTCGAGCCTCAACCCATCCAACAAGGCCTCCGAGGGTGTGCATGTCATCAATTCAGCAGCCACGGGGTATTCACCTTTGGACACGGCTGGGACAACCGATGTCAATGTCTCGGCATACCAGCATCCAGACATACCTCCTCAGCCGTGTCGTTCATATCGCCAGTTGTCTTACCTTTGGATCCCATCTCTTTCTGAACTCCTCTCAGGCAAATCCCACCTTTTTCTGAACTCTTCTTAGGGGAGGCATAGGGACTGTCGGCAGCATAAGTGCCCCACGAATACCTGGGACTCTATCTTTCACCACGACCGGACGAGGCTGAGCCGAGACCTTGCGGGATCTGTGAACCGTTGTTCGACTTTCTTTGTCATATTTCTTTGACGTCTGGTCGCCATCAAAAGGGGGAGTATTCCATCAACCCCTTCGAGGTGGAGCTGGCCGTTGCTGTTCAGATTCACGGAGTGTGCATGCTGAAGTTCTCTTTTTGGCGACTGAGATAGGACTTTCCGGGCTGAACTCAAGCCAATAGACCTGGTTATTCGCCGGTGTCATTGCAAGACCACCGTTGATCGGCATCCATTGTGCAGACCAGGTAGTGACCAGGGGCACAATGGATGTGCAGGGTGCGGTAGAAAATGGCCAGAATACTGCCTCACCGGCCTCACCTAGCGCGTCTTGTCCTGTGAAGACCGCCAAAACAGAAAGCTGCGCACTTTTCAAAACATCAACATCGCGCGACCTGCACTCGATCTTTATCTCAAACAACCAAACTCTTCCACCACCACCACAATATTTTGTCTCAACGACTTGAACCCTTCTAAGCCTCATCGTTTAAGACTCCAGTCTCGTCCTCGGCGCTCTCGGCAAGGCTCAACCCCCTATCTCGTCGTCGTCGCCCGGCAGAGACCCGTAAAAAAGCGGATCTATCTCACAGCCTTGTCAAGCAACATCTTCGACACCATGGCAGACAATTTCATCATCGATCCTGCGCTCTTCGCCCTGGATACCCATGATGGCTCTGCACAGAACACGGTATGTAACTGCTTCATGATGTTGTCGTGCTTTGTGCAGTAACTCACTGATATTTCTCAGGATGGTAACGCAGCCACTGAGTTTGAGGACACACCGATGGCAGACGATTTCATCATCGATCCTGCGCTTTTCGCCCTGAATACCCATGATGGCTCTGCACAGAACACGGTATGTAACTGCTTCATGATGCTGTGGTGCTTTGTGCAGTAACTCACTGACACAATTTAGGATGGTAACGCAGCCACTGAGTTAGAGGCCACACCCTTTGATGCCGCACCTGTTGTTCCCAACTCTAGCAGCTCAAATACAGATCCCGCCACAGCAACTGCCACTGGTAGTGCAATAGATACTGTAACTGAGACTGCAACTGAGACTGCGCAAACCAAACCAACCACTTTCGAAGACGAAGACGAAGCCATCCTGAAATACATCCAGTCTGCCCTGGGAGACGATGATGGCACAACTGATGACTTCTTTGAGCATAGTGCTTACCTTGGACCTATCTTTGGTGAAGCCCAAGCAGCTGACAGACAACCGCACAAGTACACGTACCCGGAACCTGCAGAGTCAGCCAATGCTTTGTCCCCTGCACCGGTGAACCCAGAGTACACATACACGTACCCTGAACCTGCAGAATCAGCCAATACTTTGTCCTCTGCACCGGGAAACCCAGAGTACGCGTACACGTACCC